GGATTTGTTAGCAGATTTTCTTCATTTTGGCGCTAGTGATTTTCCTTCTAAAAACTCTTTGAAAAAGTGTTTCAAAATCGTTTTTTTTGTGCTCTGGCGTCGAGATCCGGTTGTGGAGCTACAATTTCCGACGCCGTTGCGCGTACCTCTATTGTGTTTTGGAACTCAATCTCTGCAGATCGCATTGTAATGGCTGCGTCAAGGTTGCTTCGTGCTGTGGCTGTATTCGTAATACTATTGTCTTTTGCAGCTGGACTTCGTAAATCGTATTGGAGTGGCTGCATGCGCCACAGTGATTTGTCAGCAGGTTTTCTCCATTTTGGCGTCAGCGATTTTCCTTCTAAAAATGCTTTGAAAAAGTGCTTCAAAATCGTCTTGCACAACAACAGTACGTGGTTGGACGACAAAGAGTCGGACGACGAAGTTCTCCGCAGACAATACCGTCATCTCTGGGAAGCTGGGCGGTCCTTTCAACCAGAGTTTGTTGATGCTGAGATTAAGTGAGACAAGGTCTTGCGGCAGAGGTTTCAACTCTCGTTTGACTGCCGAGGGCTGGGTGTGCGCTGTTATGAACCGCATCCGGGTGTGAATTGCTGTGCTTCAGTAGCTTCGCCTTTCATTTCGAGTTGCAGACGGCAGAATGCCTGTGTCACTTCATTTTCGTTTCTGTGTGCGTTGTTACGAACCACACAAGAAACCATGATCGTATTGCATACATGTGACAAAAAAAGGATCTTTCAGATTTTGGCTGCTTTCATTTTCTATTTAAAATCAACTTTTTCTGCTCTGACGTTGGAGTGTGAAGGAAGCAGGGGAAGTGTGAAGTGTGAAGTGTGAAGGAAGCAGTGGGAAGTGAGAAGTGTGAAGTGTGGAGTGTCAAGTTTAAGTTTGGAGTGCGAAGCGCGCAGTGTGAAGTGTGAGGTTTGGAGTGTGAAGGAAGCAGTGGGAAGTGCGAAGTGTGGAGTGTGAAGTTTCAAGTTCGGAGTGCGAAGAGTGCAGTGTGAAGTGTGGAGTGTGAAGACTTTGCTTCGTCTCTCGCTGAAAAAATCAATCGGTTGTCGAGGTTTGGAGTGCGAAGCGCGCAGTGTGAAGTGTGAGGTTTGGAGTGTGAAGGAAGCAGTGGGAAGTGAGAAGTGTGAAGTGTGAAGTGTGAAGTGCGAAGTGTGAAGTGTGAAGTTTGGAGTGTGAAGTTTCAAGTTCGGAGTGCGAAGAGTGCAGTGTGAAGTGTGGAGTGTGAAGACTTTGCTTCGTCTCTCGCTGAAAAAATCAAACGGTTGTTGAGGGAAGGACACGGTCGGGACAGGGCGCCTTTGAACTATAGGTCATTTATGTTTGGGAAACTTCCGCCGCCGGCTTGCCCGGGTCTATGTTATATGTGTGTGTGCATCTGTACACATTTGCATATATATATATATTTCTGTATATGTATATATATATATATGTATATGTATATATATATATATATAAATATTTATGTGTGTATACGCATGTATGCATGCAGAGTTGAATGCATGTGCGGCACTTACCTGCGCTTGGTGCAACTTCGTGCGACCACACTTGGAGGACTTTCTTGGGCCACTTGACATCTCCAGCCTTGAGGGTGAGGGCGTGTTGACATCGCAATATGTGGCACCTTGGATTAATATTCGGACCTAAGGTTTCATCTGGTCTGTCCGTTCCAGGTGATTCATGATGATTTATGCAGTTCTCGAAGATACATATGATTAATGAATGAGTTTTTCCCCACCTGCCAGGTGAGGGTTGTTAGATTTTATCACAGTTGTTCTCCTCCTCCGCCTCCTCCTCCTCCTCATCCTCCACCTCCTTCTCTTCCTCCTCCCTCTCCTCCAGCTTCTCCTCCACCACCTTTGCATCCACTCCCATGTTCACTTCCGCCTTGCCAACTCTTCGCCAAGCTCTTCGCCAACTTCCGCACGCAGTGGGCACTGCTGGACCTCAACTGCAAGGGTCTGAGCGCACTGGGCACCGCTGGACCTCAACCTGGGACCTTCCGAGCTCAGGGAGCACCGCTGGACCTCAACCTGGGACCGCCCGAGCTCAGTGAGCACCGCTGGACCTCAACTTGGGACCCTCCAGCTCAGTGAGCACCGCTGGACCTCAACCTAGGACCCTCCGAGCTCAGTGAGCCTCAACGGCCAGATAGAATGCCAGAAGATATGCCAGATAGAACGCCAGATAGAATGTCAGAAAGACTGCCAGAAGATATGCCAGATAAAGTGCCAGAATGTTTGCCAGATAGAATGCCAGAAGATATGCCAGATAGAATGCCAGAAGGTATTCCAGATAGAATGTCAGATAGAATGCCAGAAGGTATGCCAGATACAGTGCCAGAATGTTTGCCAGATAGAACGCCAGAAGATTGGCCAGATAGAATGCCAGATAGAATGTCAGAAGATATGCCAGAAGATATGCCAGATAGAGTGCCAGAAGATATGCCAGATAGAGTGCCAGAAGATATGCCAGAACATATGCCAGAAGATATGCCAGGTAGAATGCCAGAAGATATGCCAGATAAAATGCCAGAAGATATGCCAGATAGAATGCCAGAAGGTATTCCAGATAGAATGTCGGATAGAATGCCAGATAGAATGCCAGAAGGTATGCCAGATAAAGTGCCAGAATGTTTGCCAGAAGATTTGCCAGATAGAATGTCAGAAGATATGCCAGAAGATATGCCAGATATAAGAGTGCCAGAAGATATGTCAGAACATATTGCAGAAGATATGCCAGGTAGAATGCCAGAAGATATGCCAGATAGAATGCCAGATAAAATGCCAGAAGATATGCCAGATAGAATGCCAGAAGATTTGCCAATAACAAAACGTATAGATGCCATGGTGGGGATAACTCGAAGTAAAGTAATTTAATGATGTCAAATCTTCATGTAGTGCCGTTTGTCCATCAGTTTGGTGTGTCAATCTGACTGTTAGTCTCAACAAATATCTATTTGCAGCGTGGATCTTGTGTTTTGAGTGTGTTCAAATCATAGTAATCATAGGCGTGGCAAAAGGCTGATTTTACACTTTACACCCTTAAGTTTAGACATCCTGAAATCGGAATCACCTTTGTCCCAAAACGTGCCTCATTGATGAGTTTGAATACGTTTTCAGTTGTTCCTGTCAGGTGAGGGTCTCCAGATTCTGTGGCAGTTCCTGCTGTCAATCGATATACGATATATTGGAAACATATTGGAAACCAATGTCAAGTACTTTCCAACATTACAACATGTCTCAAGGTTTTTCCAACAATCCTGCAAGGTGAGGGTCTCTAGATGTTAACACAGGTGCAACTCCTTCTTGTTCTTCTCCTTGTTCTCTTGTCCCCTTGTTTTTCTTTTTCTCCTTCTCCTTCTTCTCCTCCTTCTCCTGCTCCTTGTTGTCCTCACCTCCGCCTTCTTTCTGCCTTGTCTTGCAGCCAGCGAGCTCAGGCTGCAGTGGAGGGCGCCTGGACCCGAACTCCAAATTGGATGCTGTGGAGTGCGCCTAGGCCCGAACTCCAAACCGCCAGCACCGGATGCTGTGGAGTGCGAGCCAGAGAGAAGGCCAGATAGAATGTCAGACAGAATGTCGGAATGGATGCCAAAAAGAATGTCAGAATGTATGGCATGGCAGAAAGAATGTCAAGATTATATGCCAGATAGAATCCCAGAAAGAATGTCAGATAATGTCAGAATACATTACATACAGAAAGTATGTCAGAAAGAATGCCAGATAGAATGTCAGAAAGAATGTCAGATAGAATGTCACAGTATACTTGTGCCATATATACCTCCAGATGATATGTCAGAAACATTCAGAAACTATGTCAGAATAGGGATGAATAGTGTGTCGGGGTGGGGATCACTCGAAGTCAGGTAATTTAACTGTTTCCGCCGGCCTAGCCCCGATTTCCTGCATGGCGGTGTCCGCAGTTATCAGTTTGTTTATAAACCCATTTGACTATGGAGTTCAATGTATCTACCACAACCATAGTGAACTGTTAGTTCGAAACCAACATAACTTAGCGAAGTAGAGGGTACCACAAAGATCTCATATCAAGTTGGTGATATATCCCATGATATATTCCCATATATTCCCATGATACTTGTAGATGGTTTTGCCATGATATCCTATGGAGATTGCCCTTAGGACACACCGATGGGCGAAACCTTCGTTGCCGTGGTGGCTGGTACATCAGAGGCGGTCACCACTGCTGGCGCCAGCGTGAAACTGGATGCAGAGCTCATGCAGCAGCTAGGCCGGGAGAAAACGGACCGGTGAAGTCGGTTGAATTTTAGTATGGTTTGTTTGAAAATGGTGGTACCCCGTGGTACCCCAACAGCTGGATGGTTTATAGCTGAAAATCCGAAAATAAAAATGGATGATTTCCCCCATTTTAGGAAACCCATGTGGCTATGAGTCAAAACCCTGGTACCCTAGGTACCACCAAATAGTTAGTTTATGGGTGGTTTTTCGCCAAACTATGATAACAATATGTATCAATAGGTTTTGACGCATCCCCATTTGTTCCATGGTCAACAGATCAACCGTTCCGGCGGCCGATCATAGTGGTAACCAGAAGCGGGACTTCAATCAGGTTTGGCACACGGCATATACATACATAATACATACCTAGATATGATATTCGGATATGTTTGGAAGAATATCTCTTTGGGAATTTGTTTCTGGGTAGTAGGTGAATATTGTTTAAAATAACTGGATGAAGCTTCGTGAAGGGTGTACATGTTCTTTCTACATAATCATTAGGGAGTGATGTGCCTGAGAGCAGACCTGAAAGTAAGCCGGGAGATATAAAAAGACAAGTTGTCACCAAGATAGTGCTTTAATGTAGTTTTTGGATGTTTTTGGCGGTGTCCAATAGTCACGAGAGAGAGAGAGAGAGATATATATATATATAGGAACTCCAAAAGCGATGTACTCATGTGCCCCACATGTGGACATATTTTGTTTGAATGTTTCCAACTAGAATAGGGAAGGGATTCTCCTTGTCACATCAACGGTTTTGGACTAATTGCCAGTTTATTTTTTTTTGTCATCTAGAAAGCCAATGATGGATTCATTGGACAACTATGCTGAAACATGTGCCAGAGCAAAGACAAACTCAGTAAGAGGATTGACGATGGAACAGTTCTTTTTGCCAGACCGATAATGTGCGTATATATGCATTTATGTATATATGTATGTAAAAAAATATCATATACATATTTGCAAATATATTTTTAGGGCTTTTCAATGATATATGCAATTTTCGCTTGGACTTTGCAGTTTGTTTCAGATATACAAAAATATTGCCTGCATAGTTTGGCTATATCCTAAGTTCCTGGGTGGTTTCGCCGCCAGGCGGACAGCCTTTGGTTCTCAGTTTCACAAGTGCCTTGTACAGGGGGAAGTTTGAAGGATTGGCTTGTTGAATGGTGAAATCCCAGGATCGGCTTGAGAATTTGCAGGGTTCCTTCGTATTTTACTTTCAAATATCAAGTTTTCAGGCAGTTTTCAATTCACCTTATGTATCTTGACTAAAAGAGGACCCCTTTTTGGTGCGTAGAATTCTTCAACAATTACCCAGTCATGCTGCCTGGCGGGGTCAAACCAGGGCACCTTAGTGAATGTTTAATCATCCCCCATTCATATTTCAAGAATATCCCGTTTCATGTCCATCAATATCCGATTAATCTCAATTGAATCCCATGAAAATTCCATTCGAAACCCTTCAAAGTCTCATGAAACCTCTTGTAGGTCATCTTGGATCCTTTCCGTTGCACCAGTCACCATAAGGCTTGTCGGACACGGCCGCTGAGCAGTTCGGCGTGGAGTTGGCAGTGCCAGTTCCTGAACCGAAGCAGCGAAGAGAAAAACCCTGTAGATTGATGATCAAATTGGGTTATACTATGTTATGTTGTACTATCATAGGATACCCTTCGGGCAATTTTTTTAGGGGCGACAGAGGGCTTTGTTTTGAACACTGCTCACATGTATATGAAGCATATTGCACATGATTACTATACATAGATCTTGAGATGCACACCATGAATCACGTTGAATACCCATCTATATATTTACCGATTCGCACGTTGTGGTACCACCAATAATAATTCATCCCGAATATAGGTGCATGAAATTGGGTATACCATGGTATACCCTATTTGGGATGATATAAAAGGATGCCCAAATGATTGGTAAATTGGTAAATGGGATGTTTTTTTTTGATTTGGGGAATATTCCCAGTTATACATACATCCCTTGCGCTCCAAAAATCCTTTGAGAATGTGTTGAACTCTTCAAAACCAGGCCCGAGTACGTTCTGAGAAGGTTTTTGGAGCCGAAGGGTATGGATTATAATATATATATTTTTTTTATTTATTTATATAATATCTATTAAATGTATATATATATATTATAATAATATATATAATATATATTGTACAAGGTTTTGGATCTGAGCTGGGGTTGTAGGTGCCCACGTTCACTTCATTCACCTTAGGGGGTTCGCCTTTCATACCCCCGGGCCATTTGCCTTTGGCCTTTGCGGTGCCTGCGCTCGCTTCCTTGGTGCCTCTGATTTGCCCTGGGTTCCTTGGAGCGACTACTTGCTGCGGTGCTTTGCGGCGATCGGGCTTTGTATCTTCCAGTTTGACTTGGTCCTGCAAGAGTTCTATACGGCATCCCCCTTTGCACTGAGCACCTGGCGGTGATCAATTGGATGCGTTTTGGCACTGTGTATAACCTGATTGTCCTGGTTCTCATCTTCCACTACGACTTCATCTACTGTGCGCAGAAGACATCGGAGGCAGCGGTCGCAAGCGCGCTTCCTCTGGCATTGCCACGACAAAGGCTACAGACGGTTGCAAGCTCCTCAACTGCGGCACTTGTACTTCGTCCTCAAGCAGCACCACAGCAGAGATCCGGCGTTCTTAGCCCAGATCCGCGCAGCCATGACGACCAAAGAACCATGAAGGTGCAAGTGGTGCTACAGGCTCAATCGTCAGGCCGCCCTGCGGTGTGGGTCCTGCGACGAGCTATGGCATCGATGCTTGGACAAGACGTACGTGCACGGTGGCAGAGGGTCTTCGAGCGGCAACCAGAGCGACCAGTGGAACTACACAGGTTGGCAGGACACGGTACAAGATCGACCAACTCAGCGGAGGCCAAAATCTCCGCGTGCGAAAAGTGCAGGCAAAACAAAGTCACCTCGTGGCCGCAGGGGACGACACAAAGAAGAGTCTCTTGCACCTGCACTGGACCCTCCTTGGAACTCCAAGCAGTCGGTCAACGCGCCATCTACCACGCCTACCTCTTCCAATGCGCAAGCCGAGAGTCAAGTACAGAATCTGGTGACAGAGCTCAAGAAGCGAGAGACTCCCATCACACCAGAGGACATCGAGCAGCTCATCGAAGAGACGACCACACCAGTGATCACCTCCAAGAATGTGCACTCCGCTGTCTCAAGGGTGAACCAAGCGCGTGCCAAATTGCAGACTGCGCAACAGGCACGACAGAAGCTCCACGAGCAATGGTCTTCCTACCTGGAGCAGAGCATTGCGAGATGGAAAGGTTTCGCGGAGGACTTCAGCAACAAGGACCGGGACTTGGAGGAAAAGGTGACTTGAAGGAGCTCCACTCCAAGCAGGACAAGGCGGTCTTGGAGAGTGCGACGGAGGTGATCTCGGATGGCGAAGACGATGGGATGAAAATCGAAACAGCGGGGGTCATCAAACAGGGTATCGACAGTGTTGTCACGAACCTGGAAAACATCAGAGTACGCCCTGCAGAAGCTTCCAAGGAAGAATCTGCCGCAGCCAAAAAGGCCAGAATTGGCGACTCTGGCAAGGCCTCTGCAGCCTTGCAGCCTTTTGCCAGGCCGGGCAATTCAGACTTGAAAGAGATTTGCCCACGGCCTATTCACAACCTGTGCTTCCAAGATCATTTTGACCTCATCTGGAAAGTCTTCACTTGCGCAGGGGTTATGGGGCGCTATGAGTCTAAAGCCGACGGCATTGCTTTTGCTGAATTTGCCTGCCATGCCCAAAATCCTTCGAGGTTGACAAGTGACTGCAAACCTCCCTGTGGCAAGGTCTATAGGACAGTGTGAAGACGGGACATGGCGGACATCACAGCTGAAGGAATATCCTCCAGCATTGTGTGCCGGTTTGGCACAAAGCTTTTTTAGTTGACAGCGCACTCACCGTTGATGAGGCATTCAGAAGGCAAGCTTTGAGGTTAACCATCACCTCTTATGGCACTCACACAGGCCCTGATTTCGCCCATCACGGATCAGTTTTTTCTTCTTTACTGCAATAGAATTCATGGACATTTGCACTGGCCGCAGCGAGAGCTTCAGGTTGCCAAGAGCAAAGAACATATTGCACACACACACACATATATATATACACACTGCTCAAATGTATACATATAAATATATATATATATATACATACTGTTCGTATGTATACATATATTTGTTTATTATTTACTGTATTTATTTATTATTTATTTATTCATTTATTCATTTATTTATTTATTTAGATAGATATACGGGTGAAATCCCCCGTTCAGTTGTGCATGGAGCGTCCCCAACACGTATATATATATATATACACTTATTTATGCATAGATTAGATAGATAGATAGATAGATAGAAAGATAGATAGATAGATAGATAAATGGATAGATAGATAGATAGATAGATAGAGAGAGAGGTAGATAGATAGATAGATAGATAGACAGATACATAGATAGATAGATTCTGAAGTGACAATATATATAAATATACATATACATATACATACATATATATATATGGAAGTGAATTCGCAACGAACATGGGAATCACAATAGCAAAAATGGGATCGTCTTGGGATATCTCTGGACGAAATAAGGATACTAAGGATTCAATCATAACATGGAGGTCCCAACAATGGATTTCCTCACGCATCTCCCAGAGCATTCAATCCGATTAGCCGTGGAACATGGTCCATTTGTAATTACACGGTTTACTTATGTTTAACCTATAATTTCCCTCTTCAACATGGCCATGTTATTCCATCATTTTTCATGGTCATCTTTAGATAAAAACGGGGTATATGTCATTTCTATTGAAAAACCGTTCCTGGGAGTGGCGCATGGACCCGACTCGTAAATCACTGCCGGCTGCGCAAGGTGTCCATCTCTCTTTGGTCTTTGCAGGGTTCTCGCATCAGCCACTTGATATTCGTTGATCGCAGACCGACTTACCGGCCCAAAAAATCGATGCCGTTTCGGACACAACATGGCTTTGACTAGTACGATTTACTACGACGAATAAAATGGTGAGACGGTGGGACAGTGAAACATAGTCAAGCTGCACATAGTGAAATTCAGGGATACAACATGATACACACACACATATTATATATATAGTATGATATACATTAGTATTTTGATGGAAGGGCATCATCTCCCCTGAAGGCCACCAAGGGGTGATTACGTAATCAGATACGCGATGACGTGGCAGTCATCCGTTCCTGGTTTGATCCTGACTGCGCGCTATCCTCCCAGGTGTGTCTAATGCCGTTGTGCCTCTGCAGATCCGAATTCCAACCAACAACTCGGAAGCGCAGTGTGTCTTCTGGACCCCTCACTGCACCGATGGGTTGCTACAGGGCGCCACCGAAGCAAGTGATACAGCGATTCCAATGTGTGATTATAAATATATATATATATATATTAAATAAATATATATATATATATATATATATTAAAGAAATATATTATATATATATATTAAAGAAATATATTACTTATGTTTGTGTGTGTGAGTTAAAACGTCTTACAACTCTCCATGCTACTACGAACCAATTACATCTTGTTCTGGGATGATCTTCCAAGTAGCGTAGGATTCAATCGAATACCATTCCAGGGCCCAGGACCAACTGCCGACAGCTGAGTGCCGGGGCATGCTTCAATGCACTTCCTCTAAGAACAGGGATAGAGAGAGAGAGAGAACAAGAGTGTTGTTTAGTGGTTCGAATCATGGAGGATGATGGACTGATGCCTCATTTTATCCCTTAAAACCCTTTCAAAAACAAAAGTTGGTGGCAAAATCACTTCCTTTATTTCCTTTTCCGGACACCAAAAGGTGCGGTGTTTGTGCTACAGGAATGAGACCTTGGAAGAATGGACCTCAGACGGCCTCACACGGGTGGGCTATGAGGAGCGGCGCCCTCGCTAGCCGACCTCTAAATGATGGATATGTATGGATATTTAAGAGGGCTTATGAAAAGATTATGTTTATTTGAGGCGTTGGAAAGACTTGGGGTGTGCTCCAGAGCTATGTTCAAATCACTGTCGATGGTTGCTTTGATTTAGGAAATTATATGAAATGATTCTCAAATTAGCTTCTTGCATTTGTTCAACTCGAGAAGTATAGTATCCATATGTATCCATATATATATATAGATATAATATTATATTTATATATATGTTTGCATGCATACATAAATGCAATAATGCAATGGTAGATTCAGTAATATATGATATTATATGAAAATATTTGATAATTTGCCAAGCTGGGGGATGAAACTTGATGGAAATTATGGGCTCCCTGTTCAAAGCAATGTGACTTGGGGGTGCGCTGAGAAAACCACTGGTCAAGACCCGCGGAGGTGAGGAAAAGGAGGTTTCCTAAAATGGTGGTACCCGCATAAATCATCCATATTTGATATGATTTAATAGAATGTTCCATTATAAACCATACAGAAACCATCAGAAATCCAGCTATTGGGACAGCTCCCATACGATGCAATGGTACTTTGATGATCATCCCATGCAACATCATCAAACATCTACTTTTTTTGTTGGCAGATGACATATAAATGTGTGTCTTTCTATGCTCCCATTGGCTTCCTACTTTGTCACGCCTCGAGGACGGAGTACTTATTTGTGAATCGACACACTTGACCATTTTTAGTGCGTTTTGGCAACAATTCGCATCCCGGTGGCACTTTGAGGTCACTTTTCCCGCGAAATTGTGTTGAATTGCGGCAATATACGCTGTCTATACATTTATACACATATATATATAACCATGTTCGCACAGGTATGTTTTTTTTTAAAGATAGAATGAGTACCGATGAGTGCATATGATATAGTTTGTATTTACATATGCAGCCATACAGCCATATACCATGCAATTTTCACGTGGCCGCACTTGCAGACACCACGTATGTAGCACATATCTGAATCTAGTCAGTGAACATTGAACTACGGTCTTTACAGGTGTAAATGCCAAGAATTATACAATCAGTCATATAATCCTTGACCAGATCGATCTATCCCATTGATGGATTTTCTAGTAATATCTAATCATGTCTAAATCTAGTCAACTCTCAAGAACTAATCATAAAAGTGGATCATGACAACATACACAGGAAACCCTCATAAAGTATATAACTATCCTCCTTCAAATTTTAGCTACGTAAAGGGGAGGACTTGGGCTACAGTACAGAATGCCAGCCAGGGGTCGTTTTGTACAAAAAGGAGGAGTTGGGACCACCTTTTTGCATTTGCATTGTTGATTCCTTTCAAGTCCTCATTTGCATTTTGTAGTTGTATATGTTGAAGTGAGAAGAGGTGGAAAAAAGGAAACAGTGCGTGACATGTACATGGACACGAACAGATCATGAAGCCACAGAATGCCATCTAACAAACTGCGCGGGGTCAACACTTGATCCAACTAAATTCAATCATTGACAACTACAAAATGTTCTCCGAAATTATGTTGGTCGGAACTTTGGATGGCATAGACCGAACTACAAAATGTCATTGGGAAAATTCATGTTAGCAATTCCGATTTTCAGCTATTTTTTTAACTTCAGATGCGTTGGATTTTGTAGTGCTGATTTTGAATTATTTTCCGAGTCAGAAAAGGTTGTGTTCTGTATGTTGTAGCTGCAAAAAAGGTACCATGCACTGAATTTTGTAGGTGCGCGCCGTATGCATTGCGTTTTGTACCTGCCAAAAGCCTCTGCACAACTCCTCCCCCCTTATCTGAACCCTGATATATAACTGGTAAAAGCAAATGCTTCCTGCCTCAAACCTTGCCATGGAACAAGTCATCCACCTTCGCCGAGGGTATTGCCTTGAGATGCAGCACAGCACCAGCTTTGTTGTCGGCGGAAGGTGCGTTCCCGAAGGGTTGATCGTCTCTGCAGGTCCAGCTGACCCATTTTGATTTATATACATCGATATACATACACTTAGTCCAAGTACTCATGAACATGGGTGGAATCCCAATATTTTTGAAATCTATATATATATATATATATATATGTTTTATAATTTATCCTGGTATATCAAGCATTCTCTTTAATACTTAAAAACATATACATATACATATACATATACATATACATATACATCATACATACATACGTACGTACATACGTATACGTACATCCATCCTTCCATCCATCTATCCATCCATCCATCCCTGCGTGCGTGTGTACGTACGTACGTACGTACATAATCGTACATACGTACGTACGTACCGCACCTACCGCACCTACGGCACCTACCGTACCTACAGTACCTACCGCACCTACCGTACCCACCGTACCTACCGTGCCTACCGTGCCTACCGTACCTACCGTACCTACAGTACCTATACTGTACCTACATGCATGCATGCATACATACATTCATTCATGCATTTATACACTCCTATATACATAGCTCCATACCTACCTATTGTGACCTATCTAGCTACCTCCCTACGTACCTACGTACGTTACATCCATTTGGGGCCTCCATTTGCCCATCCTCAGCAGCCTTCAGCGAGGCTTGTCGGCCTTTGGACGTTTCCCCAGCTGGCTGGGCTATTCGTCATCGCTGATCGTCATTTTGTCGCTCTTCTTCTTCGGGCTTTGCCACGTGGCAGCGGTATGCTGGTGATGCGAACTGGAAAATTGGATAAAATTAGCCTTTAAGCTCATTCAAAAGTTTGCGAAGTGGAAAACGAAGTGGAAAACCACCATTCACAGCTAGATCATCGAACAAAATGTGCCATGGCTTCCAGACTTATGTTAAATTACCAGAGAGGGTTTTTGAACTTCATTCAAAGTCTGGCAAAGCGAAGGATGTTTCAAAACCAGGGACCTCTAACATCCTCTAACATCAGTGGTGCTTAGCTTAGTGGTCTATCTATTTTTGTGCGGAAGTCAAGCTCAGCACCACTTGATCCTGATGATTTCATCATCCTGTGAGGTATGGGATCTGCTGTGGGCAGTGATCGATTAGCAGAGCAGAAGGTGGGCAAGGATGAGTTGGCCTTTGTAGTCACTCTGGCGGCAGCCGGTTTTTTTTTTGGCTAAATTGATATTACAATTGCCATGCACCCTACTGCCCTACTTGATGATCATTCATGATCATTTATGTATGTTTGTATATTGTTGGGATACATTGGAACATCCCTAATGTGGTTAAACCAATCATAAACCATCCCCAAAATCACCATAAATGGCCGGTATAGACCATCGAAAATGGATAGATGGGCTGGTTTTCCGCATTGTTTTAACCACAGTACTTGATGATCATCCATCCCATCCAATGTTGCTTCATATTGGTTGCCATGAGTCTTAGGTCAAGTCGCCGGCACAAGCGTCGAAGTGTTGTGCTCCAGTCCTACGAGCACCTTGGCGGCGAAAGGCCCCGTGAAAGGACGCTAATGATGGCTGGAAATCCATGGGGAAATGACGGTTTTTTTCAATAGCAACATTGGTAACTTCCCATACTGTCAACCATTTTCAATTACAGTGAAGGCACATATAATATATGGTAAAATTGGTAATTCTTCAACCATTGGTAACTGAAAATCCAATGATTACCATTGGTAACTTTCCATTTCCCATATCATTCATTTGAAGATTTTCAATTACAATGTATTGTAGATTTGATATGTGAGACCCCCAGAAGAAAAGTTGGAAACCAGGAGACTGTGTGGAAGACATCATCAAAATATCATCCTGGAAACGCTAAACCCTGATTTGTTGAGGGTTATGTTGTCTGTATATACTTGGTGGATCGTCCCAGTTTGTAAGTGGGTTATAATTTATATGACTATACTTATATAACCCCAATCATAAGTAGGTTTGACATGCCAAGTAGACTTTTAACATCTTACAAGTTCCAATTAACCCACTTAGGGAGCCAAAGAAGACAGTAGCCAAAGAAGACCATAGAAGGCCTATGGCCTTAAAGATACTGAAAGTATATCACAGATCCTCCGCCAAAAACGTGGCTTGTTGGAAAACGGTCGATTTCATCATTTCATCCGATGATTTTCCTTGAAACCGTGGCTGAGGTCTCCGCGATGCTGGGGATGCTTGGATCCAAAGGCAACAGGCCCGAAACAAAGAGGGAAGCCAACTTAAAAATAAAACATAAAAATGCGGCGGGGGAAAAAAAAACACGGTTCGTATTTTTTCTGAATCCACTATTGCTACCGTCCATTGTAGATGATTGATTGTGGTCAGTTTGAAATCTCAGAGATTTTGCCTGGAAGTTCTTTTCCTCCAGAAAATATGAAGCATTCCGCTTATGTGAAGGTTTCCGACAATGTAGTGTCAACCCCTCATGAAATGAGGGGGGCACCCAAAAAAATCAGGAATCCATTTCCGGGAATGCCCACTAAATCGATTGGTGAATTGCAGCATACTCAAGGTGGGGTTATCATTAGCATGTGTTTACTAAATTGAGATTGTTTTTGGACAGATGAAATGATCAGGACCAGCCACTGCTAGGTCTTTCTCGCTATTCGGAGAGAAGCCAAGAATGTCACCAATGTCACCGGCCAATTGGTTAACATCAGATGATGCTGCAATTGCGGAAATGCTATGCTGTAATATATATGCTGTACCGGAGGCATTTGCATTTGAGCAATAGAAACCATGGTGTCCTGTCTTTCTGTTGCGCTCAAAGCAGTGATATGTGCCCAGCGCATGTCGAAATCACCAAGATTCAATAAGTTGACTCATAGAGAAATGATGTTTCTAGGATTTTTAGGACACCCTGAAAAACATGCAGTAAAAACATGGAAAAACAAGCGTTGTTTCCTGCAGATCTTTTGACAAATCAATTAGATATTGATGGTTGAGCCTGGGCCACCTACCGGCCAAAGCAGCCGGCTTGACATGCAACCAGGCTTAGCATCAACCAGCTGGGAACACACGGCGCAATCACCATGTCACCCAGTCATCTATGGCTATCAAAACCCCACAAAGTCATAAGCCACTACCCTGAGGCTCCTAACACCTCAGACTGTATTTGGGTTTGATTTTTGGAGGTCAAACACTGGCACCTGGCTATTCGATGGTATTGAGGCCTACTATTTGGATGGTTTATTGAGGATCCCCACATCACATCCATCACATCCCATCTTTGCGGCCCCACGGTCACGAGCAACTTTCCAGACATCAGTTTCTGTCACGGACGCCGAGCCTCAGCGTTGCAGCGCCATGTACTGCTGCTGTGAAGGGACCAAGGCAACTCGGGCGGCGTGGGTGAACGGTGGTGACATGATGTGACATGAAGAATGCAGGTTGTTCAAAATCGTTCATATCTACTATGCAGTGGTGTATGGAGGGCACGATATGGGGCTATGGTTGTATCATGTTGTATCCATATTTCCGAAATGGTAAGCGAGCCAAGTAGCTACAAATCCTTACCGACTTGCCATTCTCTGGGGACATATGGACACCGTAAAAGCTACCAGACCTCCCAATGGTGACCCTCCCAATCATGTGGCTTTGTCTGAAAATGGGTATACCCCCTAAATAGCAATTTATATAATACCACATTAAGGAAGCTGAAGATTCACAATTGGATGATTGGTTGCTCAATTAGCACATTTTCAGACAAACCTACATGACATCATGTAAGGGGTTGCCGCAGTAGCATCAACCATCAGATTTTCAGTGGGAAGATGATCAAACGGAGTTCAACAGGCTAATCCAATAGTCTAGTATGGGCGAATACCACCTCCGGACTTTCCGAAGAACTACCGAAAAATGCCCAACGTGACACTGGATTGGCTAAGGCGGCCTTTACAATAAATTGAAGAAATATATGGCCAGCTCGCCTTTAGCTTAGCCGAACTCATCGAGAAGGCGAGGGAGAGAGAGAGAGTACGTTTTCCAAATTCTGCTGGATCATCATCAGGTTGAGCATGAAATATGGCCGATGCTAGGAAAAAGATACGCAGATCCTGCAGATGGACTCCACAAGTGACACTGGCGGAAGTCCCTTGCTCGAGCCTGGGTCAATTGGTGCACCCAATAGTTGGTGTTTATGGGGAAATGGGTACATCATCATTTGTATTTGGATGTGTGAAACTTAGGCAAACCCACCAGCGTTTTTTTCTGGTAGGCCCTACTGACAGCTACCTATTTTGTATGTATATAGTTGCCAACGTCGCTGCAGGGCGCCTGGTTGTTTGGTTGTTTTGCTTGGTTTTGAACATTGTTTTTGTTGTTTTCACTCTACGTAGATCATTGTGTGGTTTCCTGTCACGCCAAGCTTTAGGTGCTTTGGACGTGATGTGGATGTTGGATGTGGATGTTGTTCGAGTTCTTCCTGTAGTATGTGATTTTGACACATCTCTCATGCATCATGCATTCCGCAATTTTTCCTTATCGGTGGGGGGTTGGCTGCTGACTTTTCATCCTGATTAGTGTGAGGTCCCCCCCCCCTCCCCCCCTCCCCTCAACAGTAGCTATACCCTCTTTAAAGCTGGGATCAAAACAGCGGTTCCCCAGGGGAAAAAAATTACACTTAAGCCACTTAAGTAAGGATTTCAATTGGCTACAATTGAAATCTAATTAAATTAAAACTGTTTTTTGCCGATGAACTTGTGGTATTTGTAGTACTTGAAGTACTTGTAGTACTTGTTGTGAGTGGGGTTCAGCATGTTGAAACATGTACCCCCCAACCCGGACGTTGCTCCACACCTCAAGAGAATCATCATCATCATCATCAGCAGCAGCATCATCATCATCATTTTTCTGGTGCTTGATAGGGAATGGGGGGGATGATCCAAAGGATCCAATCCATATCCTCAACTTACCTTCATAAAGGGATCAACATTTGCCAGCCCCTCTGACTTATATGTTGATGGTAATAAGAACATGAACTTATCTTGCTGAGGGATCAAAATCCGTCACCCCCTCTGACTACTACGTTGACAGGGATCATAACATCCATTTATCTTCATAAAGGGATCCAAATTTGCCACCCCCTCTGACTTATATGTTGATGATAAAAAGAACATGAACTTATCTTGTTGAGGGATCAAAATCCGCCACCCCCTCTGACTACTACGTTGACAGGGATCATAACATCAATTTACCTTCATAAGGGGATCAAAATTTGCCACCCCCTCTGACTTATATGTTGATGATAAAAAGAACATGAACTTATCTTGTTGAGGGATCAAAATCCGCCACCCCCTCTGACTACTACGTTGACAGGGATCATAACATCAATTTACCTTCATAAGGGGATCAAAATTTGCCACCCCCTCTGACTTATATGTTGATGATAAAAAGAACATGAACTTATCTTGTTGAGGGATCAAAATCCGCCACCCCCTCTGACTACTACGTTGACAGGGATCATTACATCAACTTATCTTCCTAAGGGATCAAAAATTGGCACCGAACCCCTTCTGACTTATATGTGATGTAATATATGATATATGTGCTATGTACTATTATATGCGTCGGCCACTTCTGATTCCGACGCGGAGCAACGTAGGGGTTGCATAATAAGAGAAAGAGAAAGAAAAAGAGAAAGGGAACGAGAGAAAGAGAGAGAGAGAGAGAGGAAGAGGAAGAAGAAGAGGAGGAGGCGGAACAAGACGAGGAAGAGGAAGGGGAAGAAGAAGAGGAAGAAGAAGAGGAAGAGGAAGACGAACAGAGAGAGAGGAAGAGGAAGAGGAAGAGAAAGAAAGAGAAAGAAAATGTTGCTTCTGTAAAGGCTTTTCTTTCTTCTCTTGGCTCCAGGATCAGCTCTGGAAAATTTTGCTGCAATTGTGAACCCCGAGAAAAAACCTACTAAAGTGAACTGGACCCTCTCATGGCCCAGTGCCTTGGAAATTTGTGGAAAAACTGTTCTTTATTAAGGGTTTAACAAGCGATCTGATTCTTTTGGGAAAGGCTTGGGCTTTGAACTTGGCAATTGCTTTTGTAACAGGCTTTTCTCTCTTCTTTTGGCTCCAGGACAAGCTCTGGAAAATGTTGCTGCAATTGTGAACCCTGAGAGCAAACCTACTAAAGTGAACTGGGCCCTCTCATGGCCCAGTGCCTTGGAAATGTGCGGAAAAACTGTTTTTTAATAAGAGTTTAAAAAGCGATCTGATTCTTTTGGGAAAGGCTTGGGCTTTGAACTTGGCAATTGCTTTTGTAACAGGCTTTTCTCTCTTCTTTTGGCTCCAGGATCAGCTCTGGAAAATGTTGCTGCAATTGTGAACCCTGAGGGCAAACCTACTAAAGTGAACTGGGCCCTCTCATGGCCCAGCGCCTTGGAAATTGAAATGTGTGGAAAAACTGTTTTTTAATAAGGGTGTAAAAAGCGATCTGATTCTTTTGGGAACGGCAGACAAGCACGATTTTTTGCGGAAACAATGTAATTTGAGCCACGTTCAAAGCCCAGTGTTCATGGTAAGCAACGGGCCCCTTGTAAGGGTGCGGCATAAGAAAAGCTGTGGTGCGCGTAAGCCAGCGTAAGATCCTCGTAAGACAAGATATGTGCGTAAGCAAAGCCGGTGCGCGCATAAGCAAAACTTAGGCACTGGCAAGGATGTAAGACATTTAGAACATGGCTCATTTGTTTTGGACTCACCATTTTTTTCTCCAGAGAACATGGTTTCCCAAGATTTCTTGCCACAATAGCGAGCCTGCCAAACAACGCATGGGTTCAGAATAATTGTTTTTTTGGGCACAATAGCGAACCTAGCTACTAATCAGGGTGCAACATTAATAACGTTCAATGTTTGCTAAGTTCAGAAGTGATGCTATGCTATTGATCTTTGCTTCTACGCTTGCCATCAGAAGCGACGCCGCGCTTTTGTTCTTTGCTTCTGTCTACACGATCAGAAGCAATGCTACGCTATTGATCTTTCCTTCGGCACTTGCCACAAGAAGTGGTGCTACCCCACTGATCTTGGCTTCTGCATCTGCCGCCAGAGGTGATTCTACGCTATTGATCTTTACTTGTACACTTGCCGTCAGAGGAATGCTACCCTGTTGATCTTTGCTTTGACACTTGCCATCAGAAGTGATGCTACGCTATTGATCTATGCCGCACGAATTGCAGAAGTTGGTCGCCGTCAGTAAATTGTTTCACAATCAGACGTGGTTTTCACGGATGCCAGTAGTTTTTGGAATTGAGAAAAGGGAGCTTCCAACATCGACGCGCGCTTACAGGGGGAAATGAAAGCAGAGAGCCGTAAAAGTACCAGGCGCCTCTCAGCGCTGTTCCAATATAGTTGGAAGAATCTATGGTTTATTTACTGGTTTATAGTTTATAGCTTTTAATTAATCATGAATAGACTAGGACTTTGTAGGCAGTTATTTTTATAGCAAGCCCCAAAAAGGTAGAACAAAATTTTGTTTAGCGAACTAGTGACTCAGAATCACTCTTCTTTGTTCTTGGGGGTTGCTATATCTTTGCATGTGGACTAATGCTAGTAAAGCAATGTCATAAACCAGCCATATTTTGATGGCTTAACGCACCAATTTATAACGATTTTGGATGGCATTATTGTTGCGTTGCCAACATTACTTACATCCGTTCTGATATGGAGAAGATCATTAGAAACACTAGAACCCATTTTACTTAATTTAGATATTAACATATACTTATAAGAGCCACTATTAATCGATATCTTCCAGCTATGTCTCCTTCGTTGGATCCGAACTTCAGGACTGCTTCACCTTCACCGTGGAGCTGCAGAAGCGGCCGGGCACGAACTTCGGTGTGGAACTCTCGGCGGCTGGGAAGGTCTGCCACCTGGCAACATTGGAAGAATATGGAAGAAGTGAAATGGTGCTTTCCTGAAATAAGGGTGCCTCCAAATCATCCATTTTTAGATGGATTATGATGGATTTTCCATTATAAACCATCCATTGGGACCCTCCATTTATGGAAAGCCCCAAATATGCTTTTATCATGTAATATTGACGGAAGTTAGTTAGAAATATTGCAGACGATTGGTCATGGTCAGCATTCCCACCATCATATCAACCACATCATCAGTCAACCACCCATCATCAAGTAGTAGGGAAGCGTAAAAGTTCGGAAGCGTGTGAACTCACGGGTGAAAATGCTCTCGGGCGCCGAACCCTGTGTTTTTGTTCGGGTAAAGTGGCTCCTGGGGTCGCCGAAGTAGGATTTCCGTTTCCGCGGTTTTGCGCCTCGATCTGGCAAAGTTGTCGACACGAAGTGCACCGGACTGTAGCGAGAGCTCGGTTTGCACTTCAAGTTCTCAAAGAATTGAGGTGTGCAGAGCACTTTTGGAAAATGAGGCCGGCAAAATGTGCACCAGACTGTAGCGAGATCTCACTTTCACATAAAAAGCGTAAAAAGCTGAGGCCTTCAGAACAGTCCTGGATTGCGCGGTCGAGTCCCTATTGTCAACGCTGCGCGATCATTGCTTTGCAGGTTTGGAACCGGCTGTGAAAAAAAGCATTGGCACGGCTGCGCGGAGCAAAGCATGAGTGATGCTGCGGCGCTCCTGGCTAAGTGGGATTGCAGCTGGAGGCTGCTAAACGCAATGTATAACAGATGTGCGAAAGGTATAAATAGTGAATAGTGCTACTTTTGTGCTATGCGGGATTGCAGGTGGAGGTTGCAAAACGGATTGTACCAGATGCGCGAAGAGAAGACTTGGGTTGCAGAAGCTAAGCTCAGAGCATGGTTAGAGAAGAAGTAGCTGAGAAAAGAGGTGCCTCAGCGAAGTGCCTCAGCGAAGAGGTCGCTCAGTGAAGAAGTAGCTCAGCTCAACAAAGAAAAGTAGCTTGCTCATCTATCCATCCATCCACCCATCTTTCAGTTCATCATTTTTTCATTGTTTTCATTCGTTTAGTCACTGAATCATTGATTCGCTGATTCACCGATTCATTGCTTCATTGAAGGAATGATTCACAGATTCATTGATTCACTGATTGATTCATTCACTGACTCATTGATTCAGTGACTGGTTGCTTCATTGATTCATTGATTCACTGATTCATCGAATCACTACTTCACTCATTCATTGGTTCATTGGTTCATTGCTTCGTGACATCAATGATTCACAGCTTCCTTGTTTCATTGACTGAGTGATTCATCATCTGGTTCATTGATTCACTGCTTCGTTCCTTCGTCAATTCGCTGCTTCATCATGTCATTGGCTAATTGATGTTGATTCATCGGTTCATTGATTTATTCATTCAGCTGTGCGTGGATTTTTTCATGTCATTTCATTGGCATCTCAACAACCATGTGCTCAATCGTTGATGCATCTTCAACTTCAAAACCTCGCTGCTTCTGCATCTCAAAAACTATCCTCTTGGCCATTTCTTCCTTTAGCTGCTTCATTTTTTTGAACCTTCAGCATCGGCATGCACTGGGCACTATCTGGTACACATATTTGATACATATACGTGCATATCATTGTACTTCGTTATATTTTTTTTATCGGTATGCACATTGTAGATTTTATATTTTCAGAAGCAGAACTCACATCATATCTAAAAACGGATTTCCTGACATCCTTTGCGTCCCTTGGTCGATGTTTTGTGGAGATGCGCGGCTTCCTTAAACAGCGGGAGGGATTTCAAAGTCGCATCGTCTGACTGGACGTGATTGGACAATAATAGGTTTGTCAAAATACCATTTGTTTCATCATATGGCACAACTCTACTAATACAGAATGATTCATTTATTTACATAATGTATGATTCACATGCAGTACAGAATCGCCCATACTCCCAAAAAGCGAAGGTGGTTTCTTCAAACATATAAGAACCTATTCAAAACTGAATCTGATTTTGGCTCAGACTTGGACGCTTTTGCATTGAGCAACGGTTTTTCGAATGCCCCAAAGGTATGGTCAATGCCGTCCTGGGCGCCAGTTTGCTCCTGGGCGAGACCAGTTAAAAAGACCATTGGACTGGGTTTGTTTGAAAATAGGGTATATACCCCCAAACTCCAATGGACAATTAGTATGAGAGAGAGAGATATATATATATACATACATAGTTATAATAACAACAAATGAGACGAAAACAATGATAATGATAATAATAAAAGTAACAGCATGACAGTAGTAGTGATATATAACTATTTGTCTCCTTGTTTCAAATGATCATGTGGAGGGCATCCTTTATTTCCAGAGAAACTCTATATATAATTATACATATTTGAATTTTTATGTAGGGTGTTGTCTTCTAGATAAAGTTGACCAATGCAGGGGAATGTCCATCATTTCGATGTTTGGAGGAAGGTCGGAACAAACGAATCCACCCTGCTGAGGATCGGAGAGTGGAACCGAATGATGGATCAGAGAGGGCCAAAGGAGCACGCTATCCGACCCTTAGATCAATCAGGTGGCAGAATGATATGCGCTCCATATGGCTACCGCAGCCTCTCTCTTTTTTGTTGGTGTATTCAATAGGTCCCCTGAAGGTGGTGCCTTACTTGGCTCCCAGTATGTGGGTAATAAGGACGGATCACATCGAATATGCATATCACCAGATTATCAGATTTACAAGTCAGCTTTGTGTTGTTTAAAAGTTCGAACGTACCCCCAAGATCACCCAACCATACCCAACCATATTAGTTAAGTGGGTAGCAACCATTTTATGACCCAGTTACATACATCTGTGATGCCCCAGCATGCATAGATAGATGGATGGATAGATAGACAGACAGACAGATCGATAGATAGATATGGATAGATAGATATAGTTAGATGATCGATTAATTGGATTAGATTACATTAATTATATAGATTCGATACATTAGTTTAGATTAGACAAACCGATGCATACATAGATCTGTAGATAGATAGATCGACAGATAGATATTTTACCATTTGCCAAAAATAGTTGTTCAGAAGTTTTGTATTGGCGGTTGATAATTCATCTGGGTCTAGTGTTTTTTCCTCTTCGGTATGAGGCGGCACTATAGTTTTGTTTGGATATTCATGTGCAAATATTTTTTGGTTCCTGATTGCTTATTATTTTAGCGTATGTTCTTCATAAAATACGGTGCACAAGTCATTCTTGCTTGAATACTATATCCAAACCAATCGAAACATACGCTGTTCCTTCCATCGGTCCGTTTGCTGCATATTATACATGTATGGATTTCGTATTTTTTATGGCTTAGCAATAAATACATATATTCATTTATATATATGGTATCGTTTATAAAGGCTATAAGCAACAGACTGAATGGGATACACATGCAGATAGTCAGCACTGCGCCTGAGGTCAGTATGACCGGCTCATGGTCTTCAATGATGAGCCACTTGGACTGCGCCGACCCCCTTGAGGGGGGCACCCCATGTAAGAGGCATCTAAATATCAGATTGTTGGGTATGATCCAGGATATGGCCATTTCCGTGACCATTTTATCGAAATCATATTGTCATTGTATCTCCATTCTTCCTGTGTAGTTCCATTTTCCGTTAGAGAACCCTGAAATAGTAAAAATCAAGCATGTTAACCCTATTATTTTCACATTTTCCATTTATGATATGCGGAGGGCCGCGGCGTCACAGCTGAAGGCCAAAAAAGAAAGATTTGGGCCCAGGCGAGGTCCAAAACGCCGGACCCGCCACGCTGAAACACCATGCGAGTGACCGGGTCATTTGTACCCGCCACGCCGAAACACCATGCGAGTGAAGGCTCGACGGGGTATATTGTGGCGGAAGGCCATCACAGCTAAAAACAAGTAAAGAAAGATTTGGGCCCAGGCAGAGGTCCAAAACGCCGGACCTGCCACGCTGAAACACCATGCGAGTGACCGGAGTCATTTAGATCCGCCACGCCGAAACACCATGCGAGTGAAGGCTCGACGGGGTATATTGTGGCGGAAGGCCATCACAGCTGAACGCCAAGTAAAGAATGATTCGGGCCCAGGCAGAGGTCCAACACTGTGGGCCCGCCATGTCGAAACACCATGCGGGTGAAGGTCGGACGGGGTATTGCGATGGGATGGCCGCAGCGTCGCGGCTGAAATACAGATTGCAGATTAGGCATGGACAACATCCATAGTTATGGCGGAGGCCACAGCCACAGCCGTCCAAGCCTTTACGCTCAAGCCCCCAAATTCAACAATGCCTTTGCAGCTTGCCGATGGTAGCTCACCATTCAAGGAAACTCTTCAAGTCGCTGCAGCATTGCAGATCTGGCTGCCGTTCATGCCGCCGACTCGCCGACCCCTCAAAAATCCTTGACTCCGGTTGAAGCTTCCACGTTTTCGGGCTGCGTAACACGAATAAACATGGGGCTGCTGCTAAGGTGACTTTTTGGTAGATTTGTATTGTTTTGATGCGGTCCGAAGGCCGCAACACACTGTAATTTACAGTGTTTTTGTGCCTTTGGCATGGAAAAAGTATTTCTTGCAAAATGTTGAAAATTGATGAAAATTGCGCAAATACATGTAAATACCAGTGTTTTTGCTGGCACTGGTCAAACAACACCGTAAATACCCTGATTTTGCTATACCAAAGGCAAAACACATCGTAAATACTGTGGTTTTGGGTTTCCAAGGCGCTAAAACTTTGGTATTTACGGTGTTTTTTTGTGCCGAGAGCTTCAAAAAACGTGAAAACGGCACCTATTTGACGATTTTTGGTCACTACGGGACTGGGAAAAAACTGCAGGGGGATCAACAACAACAACAACAACAACAACAACAAAGCAAACATGGACATTCTGGAAAACAACAGCAACCCTTGGGCCCGTGTGCGAAGCCCCACAATTCTCAAACAATTTTGCCCCCCAAGTTTCCATCTCAGATTGCCGGTCAAGTCCAGTCATCAAATCCAGGCTTTCCGCACAATTTCTAGATTCAATTGTTCATAGATTTTACCAACTATGTTCCATACATTTGCCCAGTTATCCCAAGCTGACATATTTGACACGGATCTTCCCACATTTTCATACTTTTTCCATTTTTTCCAAATGTTCCATTGATGTTCCCATATTTCTCATTGATGTTCCCACGTTTTTGACTTTTGTCCGTGTGTTCCAAAGATCTTCTTCCATCGATTTTGCCTCAGGAAACCCGCCAAGGGTGCGGATATGGTGGAGCGTCTCCACAGCGCCCAGGGCGCCGTGACGTTGATCGTCCAGCGGCCCCGACGCCACATGCTCCGCCTCGCGCGCAGGCCATGGCGGCCGCTGGGGATCCAAGCGCTGACCAGTGGCAGCGGCTTCCTGTTGATCACCAGGACGGGTCACCAGGGGTTGATGTTTAAACTATGACTCTGACTTATATATATATATATCCAACAGTGGTTGCTGATAACATGTTTTTCACATTAAAATTATTTATGATGTAACTGATGTAACTATGTTTTATTTTTGAAAAGACATGGTTTATAGTTGTTACAATTTAATACAGACTATACATGAAATTAGTGAAATTGTACACGTGTACATGTACACAGTATATCATGGATCTGAGAATGAAAAATAGTAATAAATCATGATCACAGATGATAGATATCAACCACATACAGAATGTCATTGTGTAAAAATATTGAATGAATGAACATGAATGAAATATACAATGATGGTTTTCATAGGAAATCAATATCGGGAAGGGGACTCGGGCAGTTGGGATCATCTGATGATAAACCCATGGCATGAGAGAGGATCATGTGTGATAATGCATAGGAAATGATATATATATATATATGCATATATACTTAGCAAATTTAGTGGGATTACGTAGGCTGTCAAGATTGGCCAAGGACGTCAGATTTCAAATTGGCTCTCGATTTTCCATACGCGCCTACCCTTCAGGGTTTTCTCCATGGCGACTGGGCTAACAATGTCCAGGTTTCACAGGTTCACTGCGCGCAGGATCAACGAAGGCGCCTTCGCTGACCACAATGCGTTTGCACCGGAGGAGGATAGGGTGAAGAGTCTCCGCTACAAGATGCAATGTTTTGGTTGGGGGGATGCAGAAGGAATTGCATCAAGATGGTTTGTCTCAAACTGGAGTGGTATCTCAAAATTGCATGTTTGGAACATGATGATGAACATGGGATTTTGGGGTGCACTAGTGTTAGACTCCTACGGACTTGTTTTGTCTTACCTTGCTTGGTTCATGGCTGCTATTGGCAGTTCCAGTTGTTTACATTTTGCAGTTGAAACATGATGTTCAAACATGTTCCGTCCAAGCACATTTTATGTTGACCATAAACCACGTTAAACATTGGTATTTCCCAGGTTGATTCCTACTAGGCCCGGGCCTTGTTCTCCACCGAGGATCCCGTGCCGACTGGTCGCAGTGTATGGGCAGAGCGGCAGTGGGGCAGAGCTATTGCAGTTCATGGAAGAGTCCCAGAAGACTGTTTTGGACTTGGAAATTCTCATTTATGATTGAAACTTGGCAGATTTATGCCGTTGTATTGCTTGTTGATTCTCGTTTATCATCATTTTTTGCTCTGAAATTTTCTTTTGAGGGACATTTTGGATTTTGCAACTCGGCAGAGAGCCCGGTCATGTGTCTATATTTTTTCCCCACATTGACGTGTGGGGTTTTTGTTTTTAGTTCTGTATCCGCCGCCGCCTCCGCCTCCTCCTCCTCCTCCTCGCCCGCCTGTCCTCGTCACTCACACTCACTCCGCCTCCGCCTCCTCCTCCTCCTCCTCGCTCGCCTGTCCTCCTCACTCACACTCACTCACACACACACACATTCACTCACACTCACTCACTCACTCACTCACACACACACACTCACTTACACACACACACTCACTCACTCACTCACTCACTCACTCACTCACTCACTCACTCACTCACGCGCGCACGCACGCACGCACGCACGCACGCACTCACTCACTCACTCACTCACTCACTCATTCACTCACTCACTCACTCACTCACTCACTCACACTCACTCACACTCACTCAACTCACTCTCACTCAACTCACTCACTCACTCACTCACTCACTCATTCACTCACTCACTCACTCACTCACTCACCCACTCACCCACCCACTCACTCACCCACTCACCCACCCACTCACTCACTCACCCACTCACCCACCCACTCACTCACTCACTCACTCACTCACTCACTCACCTACCTCACCTACCTCACCTACCTCACCTACCTCACCTACCTCACCTACCTCACTCACCCACTCACTCACTCACTCACTCACTTCGCTTCGCTTCGCTTCGCGTCGCTTTGCTTCGCTTCGCTTCACTCACTTCACTCACTTTCACATCCCTCACTCACACACACCACACTCACATCACTCACTCACACTCTCACTCACTCACTGTACATGAACATACATACATACACACAAACTCACCCACCATCACCGCTCCATCACTCTTATACTTCCTCTTCCCTTCTTGCTTTTCTATTCTCAGTCTAAGTCTAAAGAAGTTGGTAACATGTGGGGTTATCCGGTCCTTTAATTTTTAAAGCGCGCGTGGGATGGATCACGTGGGATTGTGATCCCCTCAATAGTGGTTTTTCATATGTTGAGGAAAGGTGGAAAGCCATCAGCCATAGAAATTTACGAGGAGCAAACCCGAGTCATTTTGATTAGACTCCTCGGGGTAAAAAAAACTCCGTTCTGGGGTAGGTTTTCATGTTTCATCCCTGGGGAAAGCGATTATGATTGGTTACAGACGGGCCTATGCTTGGATATTCACAAACTACATTTTTTTGGGGCAATATACATGTTGTCAGATAAGAACATGCAATTTTCTTTTCGGATTTTGGACAAGTTTTTTCAACATGGACAACGTTGGGACCGGCCCTGGGCAAACAATGATTGGAAAAACGTGTTTCACATAATTTTGTTTGAGACAAAAGAATATGTTGTGTGAGACGAAATCATGTCCTTCCAAGACCAATGCAGCAAGATATGTACGTACTGTATGTCTTAAACTTCCCAGTTGGCCAAAACAAGATTTCAATTTAACAACCTGCTCAAAGCAGGGGTTGTGTAAAGCTGGTTGATATAAAAGTGGTGGTTTGTGTAAAAGGTGGTTTGTCTAAATAAGTTGGTTTGTGCAAAAACTGGCTTGTGTCAAAGCTAATTTGTGTAAAAGCTGGTTTGTAAAAGTTGGTTAGTGCAAAGTGTGGTTTGTGTAAAAGTTGGTTGGTCGAAAAGTTGATTCGCGTAGAAGCTGGTGCGTGTAAAAGCTCGTTTGTGTAAGAGCTGGTTGGTGTAAAAGGTGGTTTGTGCAAAAGCGATTTTGTGTAAAAACGGGTGTGTGATGATATATAATTAAGATGATGAAGATGAATCATGACCACCGAGACGACGATGATGACGATGACGATGAATAACGATGATGATGATGATGATGACGACGACATATGACGACGACATATGACGACGGTGATGATGATGATAAGGTCAGTGCTAGGTAGCTTGCGAAAAGAGACGAGGCGACATGAGACTAGACTAGACTAGACGAGACTGTACCAGAGTATGCTAGACTGTACATGACCGTACTAGGCTATGCAAAATTATACTAGACTATAGTGTATTTGTGTAATTATAGGGGGAGGGCAGCGAAAACAAACATCCGTCGAAGGAGCAATTATAGATGAAACTAAAGCTGGCTATCACTATCACAAGGTGTATCACAAGAAGATCCACAAAACACGCCGGCAGGCCGGCGGATTCCTGTCAGAAAACACAGATAGTTCGCAGATTTCTGAGTTGATTGCTGAAATGCCACACAGATCTGGGGCTTGCCGCCGACTGTCTCGTTGTTTCTCTATGTACGCTTGTGAAGATCTCACAAAAACAGACCAAAACCCTCCAAAACAGGGTTCTGTTAAGATTATTTAGTTTGCGTTTCTTTGGTCCAAGTTCCGCACAATTGCCCATTCTGAGTTAATTGTCAGAAGAAAGTGCTGCTCTGGAATCCCCGGGTATTGCCAACCAGCGGAAAAAAGTAACAAATCAGGGCATCCATGATTGATCATGCTCACTTGTCTTATTCTTCTTGTTGTTGTTTGAATTTCCTCGGCCGCTGCTTAGGAGGGGCCTTACAAGGCACTTCATCATCCGAGGGTCGAGTGAGACATGTCTCAGCTGCTCTCATTGTTTCACCAGGCTTTCACCCAGGCTTTACCATGAGTATCCACGAGCAGGATGCCTCAGAAAGGGCCTGTCAGTCGCAGAAAAGGAGGAAAAAACATGATCCAGTTGGGTGTATTCCTCATAAATTGAGAGATAACTGAGACAACCGAATTTGCGGCCATATAACAACTCTTTAAGAGTAACTCCATCCCCAAGTGCGCTATGCCACTACTGAAACAACTCACTGTGTTTTCTTTGGTTTTGGTGGTGATGTATTTTTGTGTTTTCAGTGGATGATTCGATGATCTCAAATGGCCAGCACCCTTTTGGTTCAGGGTCTTCGATCTCTACCGCTAATTAGCAACAGGATGCAACAGGGAATTGATTGAGGTTGGAGGGGGTTACCTATATATGTTACCTCTGGCGAACGGATTACTGTAGGCCCCTGGTGCTGGCACAAGCGGTGCATGCACCTCCGATGAACCCTGTGCAATTCGAGAGAAGAATCGGGTTTCACGAAATTTCTGGACACATCAGAGGAGTCCCTAACAAAGAACTGGGGCAGTTATTTCTACAGTTCTTTGTCTTCCTTTGGTTTGCACTATGCACATGCTTCGCAGAAAATCACACAGAGACACTGCACAGTACACACAGGCAAGCTGATAATTATAGATCAACTCGGGGGAAACGGCCTTTAACAACAAGTATCCACATATTTTTTGAATCTCTATCAGACTCTATCAGCGTGATGCCGAACAATTTGTTTCCTGATCTTAAGATTTCAGGACTTGTTCCGACCAATGGACAGCTTGAACGGAATGTCCCAAGCCATTATCCGGGTTTCCCATAAAATGTCTTATATATAACATGTCCCCTTGCAACGTTCAAAGTTAAAAAATGGAAAGCGATGAAAACGTTCCACTTATTCTCAGGTTCTCCTATGTCCACCTGGCGTTTTTTCCAAGAAATCCTGGGATCGGATCGTTTTCGTCGCCATGGTGCTGCCAGTGCTGGTGCTGTTCCCTTCTGGGGAGACCGCTTTGCAGCGAGACCTGTCGGACACAACCAGCACCAAGGAACTACAAGAGATTTTGGCAGTGCCTCGGAGTCCTCGGGGCTGACCAGATTGGTTATCAGTTGATTCATATCATGGGGGTTTCCTACAATAGGGGACACCCTATCGTCACCATGGGTTTTAATACTAAAATGGGTATCCAGGACTTGAATGATTTGGGGGTACCCCCATGGTTTATGTCATGGTTTATGATGGTTTATCATGACTTCTATATTGTGACATTCAATTTTCCCATGATTTGCTTCATTACAATGGGGTATTCAGCCGATTCATGGGGATATTGTTGAGATATTCTGGGGATATTGTTGGGATATTCTGGGGAAATGATTGCCTCTAACTTAGCTGCCTGGTGGTTTCAAGGTTTTGGTTGGGTTCCAACAAAGGGGACCCAAGTGACAACTGTGACTGCCATGGTTCGGGGAATGTTTGAAGCCACCAAACAAGTCACTACGCACATAGAAGTACATAATTTATCATATCATATCATATTTTATTTTACAATTATATATAATATTTTTTTCTTTATATAATGTATAAATATATATATATATGCGTGTGTGCGTGAGGGTGTTCAAAATATGGCGGATCCCCCAGTCGTCACCATGGCTTTCGATACCAAGTGCTCCATGGATCCAGGTGGAGCTACGAGACGCCCATGCCTGGCAACTGGCTTCTCGGCCATGGCCATGGCACACGTTCATTAATGGGTAAGCCGGTCCAAAAAGGGTACTATACCATAACTACAGATGATATATGATAATCTAGATCGTTAATGATGGTTTATTATGGTTAATACACAGCTACACTAAACTAGTAGATATACTAATACATATATATATATATACAGTACTAAGGTCATGAAACAAACTCTTTGATTGTGCTACCGGGTTTCAATTTTGTTTAGCCGTTCCATACTTTTGCCATGGTCAAGTCGCATGGTTTATTTTCCCAAAAAAGAAGATGTGTCATGAATCGATCCATGTTCAAAAGGGTTAATATACCCATTCTTCAGGATTCCCATAATGGGATGGATGACCAAAAACAATGTATTTTAAGTGTTTTGACCATGGGACACTGCTAGAATTCAAGTGTGAACTGCTGGAAGATCAATCACACTGGCGGATCTGGTGGCCGATCACCTTTGAAGAAACTCATCGGGCAAAGAGATCGATCATCCAGCAATATACAGCATGAAATTCAGATGGGGAAATCATGGTGAAACCATGTGAAACTGATTTTTCTTGTTTTTTTGTTTCCGTTTCTTTTTCGGTATGTTTACTGGTGTCCTTACCAGGAGCTGATCCACGATCAAGGGATGTTGCCGAAGACCGCGATCCTGGCTGACGCTTTCGAAAGCCGCGGATTGGAGGGATTGGAAGATCTTGGAAGATATTAAAATGTTAATGGATTTCCATCATTTCCATATATCAATTGGGATGTGAAAATCTATAGATATATTAGATATCCTCCGGTATTCAAACATGGCAATGGAACATCGGCTCTTTTCAATGATTTTCATATGAAAAACCTCTATCATAAAAAGGTTTGGGTAACCTGGGTAATCGCATGTTCCTACTAAAATCTACTAAATTTTACTAAATGTCCGATGTTTGAAGATTGGCTCAATGATGCGCTTCAATTTCGCCATAGCGAGGCCATCCCACTTTTGGCACTGTCTCACCTCATTGGAGCACGACTCACACTAATCATGCGCGTTCGTATACCAGACATACTTGTATATATAAAGATATATGTATATATATACATATAGAGAGAGATGCATATTATATATTTGCAGATAGTTAGACATGCCTACGCATGTACTTACGTTTCACTTTTTAAATGTAATATATTATGTGACCAAGCGTATAGAATTGCATATGGTGTCACACCCTTAAATCATTTACTCATTATGCGCATACTGCATAGACTTATGCTACATGCAGCGCTAAGGACGCTTATTTGCCGCAGGATCGCGAGGCTGGACGGCAGATGGAGCTACAACTCGTGAGACGTGCACGGCAGGAACTGGCGGAACCGGGAGCCCTTGGATGTTGATCACTGGGGGTAACACAGGTAACACCCCCAATTAGTGTTTGAAATTGCTACGAAAATTCGAATCCTCCTCAACTTAAATATCCTAGGCTTTTTTCCTCAATGGGAAAGGTCAAAATCAAATACGCAAATCATCTTTCAAAACTGGGTTGACCCGACCCCAAAAGTCTCCCTGCAACCCCATTCCTTTCCCCAAAACAGAAACAATACGAAATACATCCAAATAACTTCCCAGACCCGGTGGCTCAGTATTGGATCTAGTCAGTTTGTACTATATCAGCTATATATCTATACATATATGATATTATACAATATATTATATATTTATAATATATATATATAATATAAATACACATTCATATATATATACTATATATATATGTAATATCCCTCTCTCTCGCTCATTATATTACTGTATTATGCATGTCGCATGTCAGGATGCACTTAAACCCACACGTTTGAGAGTAAAACCCCTAGTCTTGGACAACAACTACTCTTGAAGGGATTCACCTTCCGCAATGATCAGGTCTTTCAAGACCGTTTCGCCACAGGAGTACGAGCCGTACCAGCCATCGCTTAAAGTGTCGGAGGGCGAGCTGTCCTCGGTACCAAAGGTCTCTCAGTTGATGTGGCCATGGCATGGCTCAAAATTGGGGAACTCTTGTGCCATTGGGGCATTGGGCCACAGGCTTTTTGTTGACCCTTGAACAAATTCAGCTTCGACATATGGGCCAAAATTGAGGTAGCATTGGGGCCACCAAAAATGGGCAATGTTGTTACTAAACTATCAATTTTTGTGGGATGGTCATTTTGAGCCAGACCCAGAAAAACGGGATGTAGAAAAGAACTAGCTGGAAATTGTCGAACAGCTCAGATTGGTGAAGTATCGAACACATAGCAACCAGAAAAGTCCTGTAGTTGTGCAATTTTCTACATCTCTTACTTCCAAATTGTCTTCAGGGATTATGATGGAACTGCTAGCGTGATGAGCATCACTGGCGGGGTAAACTGGTGAAGGTGTTTCTAGTGTTTTCATAGGAAGGGCGGATGTAAGACTCAGCTACAGTCATTTGTTTGGCAAAAGGTCAGCATCATGGTTAACTAAATTACTCTAGTAGCAAGCCTGTTTGAAAGCGTGCTTGCACTCCATTTACGATGCAGGGTTTCTCAAGAATCATCAATGATCTCTGGAGGATCATGCCACTTCGTAAGTCGCTGGTAACCATTGTTATAATTCATTTAGCTTCCAGTAATCAAACGTGGCAATGGACAATCACCTATTTATATTCATTTATATATATTTATATATAGAAATATATATATATATACATACAATGTGTTTTTCATGTTTGTTCCATTATATAAAACCTTCATTTACTTCGGGAATTCCCTATATCGCACAAATTCTAATTGCATTATATGTGGCGAAAGCCCTAGTTGCGGTCCTCCAAGTTACCCCGACCCGAGCGCTCTCGGATTGACAGACATTCCTGTGGATGTAGTTACTGGTAACGTTCAAAAAAAAACTGTAGGTATTTAACATGATTTAGCATTATTTAACAATTTTTTTACAAAATAGGGTGTAACTCAAGAATGTGAACAACACGTGTTTATTTCTACATATGTTTGATGGTGGTGGCAACTTTTCTTTTATAACATCTCTGATGGCCTGTAGGTAGTTTCTGTCCAGGGTTCTGGGCCCATTGGCAACATGGAAAGAAGAGTAGCTGGATATAGCTGGATGCTGGTTGCAAGTAATTAAATCCATACCAATTTTCCAGCACTGTTTGCGGATTCAAGTTTCAGCAAGCAACCATGAATGATTTTGGGAATGACAGAAAGTTGGGAGTAAAACGTAAAAGCATTGGTTACCGATGTTCCCAGCCTTGGCCTTCAAGGTGACGCTCGTTTTCTATGGCGTTGGCTTTCATGCCTTATCGCACCTTGGGGCGATCTGGGTTTCCAAATGATTTGACTTACTCTCTGGTCATTTCATCATTTCCTGTGACCGGTCATTTTTTTGATGGGTAACTCCAATATATATACATGGACCATCTATACAATATAGCCTAATATAGCTACATCATGGCTACTTGTTAAGTTACCAAGAAGATTTTAAGAGTATAGCAACATTTCGCGCAGGCGCCTTCATTTGCCACCACAAAGCACGCCTGACCCTAATATTGGAACTACCGGAATTCAATGGTCATTCTGATTACTTCTGAGGTGAGATTTGTACAAAAATATATATGGTGGTCCAATGGTGGTATCAAGAAAATCATAGAAACTCTAGTAAATTCATTACTTGTTGGATGTCACAAGATGTGATATTTTTTGGCAACCCCCATATCTTGTCAACTTGATATCCAGGGTTCCCGTGAATGTTGTGGAGATCTTATACCTGCGTGGGGTTTGGGCCAAGTGATGGAAGTCCTTTTTGTGCCACCCCCCTTCGTGCTGGAACCGGTGCATTTGATGGATCCAAAATCAACAGGGCCCCTTTGTTTCGGAGCAGATTGTCATTTTTCAATCATGAAACACCAAACATGGCCAAGTGCAAAGTCATCCAGAGCCATGTTTTTTGGGATCCCTGCTGATTTTCGAGGGAAGCACCAATTCCTTCGAAATGGCGGAGCTATTTTGAGCCCAGCTATTCTAGGAGCATCAGCATAAGGCAACTCTTCATGTCCATCAAGCGATTTGCCATCCGCGGCTCCTATCAAGGCCACTGGGCAAAAAAGTTGCTGACTGGGTTGTATGGGCCAGCTGAATTTGGAGTGAGCCAACCTTTCAAACGTGACACTCCTGCGTTTCGACCATCCAGTTTAGGGTCCAGGGTGGTTCCGAGAGGTTTTCCGTCGAAGCAAGGTTGGCAAAACCGGACATCATATTCAACATTTATGACAACTTCTGATATTTTTGTCAATGTTCAAAGGAACATCAAAGCGAAAATCCGGCCTCCTATGTCACAGCACAAAGTTTGTAAGAAGTGCATCTAAGTAAGGTCACTGAACATACCCCGACAAAACGACAGCCATGCAGCTAGCTTCAGTCATGCAAGTGGCAAACATGTCTCCAAAGGCCCTCAGCTCTTGGAAATTTAACTCAAACTTCAAATTTGAAGCTTGGGCTGACATGTCCATTTGCTCTTTAGTAGCACATGAGCATTCACATGTTCCCAGTAAGTTCCTAGCGTAGCTGCTGTTGGTTTGCAAAAGAACCCAGCAAGTTGCCAATTCTATAGCTGGTGTCTTTCATCTTTGAGGGACATGAAGGCCCCAAATAATTTCGAATTGTGGCAAACAATAGAAACGTATTATACAAACCATATTGTACACAGGCAATTTATGAACACACAAGCGCCGTTGCAAAACGAAGCATGTCTATGATGAACTTCGGCATTTACACTCCGTGCGGCACATTTGGCAGCGTGATGTTTTTGCGCAATTTTGAGTGTGGATTGTAGTACTCGCTTCGCTTGAATTCAAAAAAACAAATTTCAAGTATGGACTATTGATGTTTTTCATTATTCTTGACGTGCTGCACAAACACATTGTCATAAATAAATCGCAGACTGACAGATGGCGGAGAGTATTTGCCCTTCCAAAACATGTAATTCATTTTAATGCCTGAACTGAACCCCCTGCTTTTTGCATCGCAAAAATCAAGCATTTTTTTGACACATGGATACCACTGTTGTTCGGTCGGTTTCGTTGAGGTCCTTCCATGGGCGGGCACGAGACATGTACGGTGCATTTCCAACGCTCAGATCAGAAGACAATACGCGGCTTGGCGCTCAAAAGGAGTGGAAGGGTTCGTGAACGTCTGGGATGGTTAGGCATTAGATAAAACATGAAAAGAGACAACAGAAGTAAGCAACAAAATCGGATTTGAGAGATGATTTTTTGGGTTGTTATCCTTTTGTCTGTTTGATTTATTATTGATCATTGACAGATGATAGTTCAAAATTGCAAATTTCAATCTGAGCCTCAAACTTCTCACTGGTTAACCGAATTTTAGATATTTTAGCTGTGATTTGATTTTTGTCCAAGGACTTGAGCTTCGTCACCTACTTCCAAAACAGGCCTGAACGGATGGCCTGTGTGGAGGCTTCTGGTAAGGGAAACCACTGGCTTTTGGTACGGGGAACCTTGGATTTTGATGGTAGATGTTGATGTATAGATTTAGGGAGTATCAGCTGCAGGTGGCGGAGATTTTTGTTCCCCCTTGTTGGGTGACGTTGCAGTGGTTGAGTGACGTTTTTTGTGACGTCCAATGCACGGAGCATGGTCTGAATCGGTGGTCAAAGACATGCTGAGACCCTGTCAGAATTTATTGGGCAAGATGCTCCGGAAGATTTGAGGCTTGAGAATGTTGATGAAAGATGCAAAATCAAGTCCCGGCATTTCTTCATGCATGTTCTTGTTTCCTGGGTTACCGAGAGTTGTTCATTGCAGAAAACAAGTCTTGAAACTGGAGGAGGGGCGTCTTCCCGATTTCTTCTTCGATGGTGCTGATGGCATTCTGCTGCCCTTCAGCTTGCACTACAGCAGCTCTTTTGATCAGGCTCTAGCGCAACTTGGCACAAACGCCCAGAAGGTTTTGCTGTGGAAACATGTGGAAACCCGATAGCGATGGTTTGGGCACGTATCAATATCCTCATTTGTCCCTTCCCCTAAACATCGCAAAGCCCAGAAAAACCTTTGTGGATTGGATGTCAACACATATCAACCCCTGAGTAGTAGACCGCCCGTTAATTGAAAGACGCGCCCCAAATAGGTATACATGAATTCCTCCATCATGAGTGCATATGAGTGCTATGCATAGTAGTACCCCCCTATCAATAGACCAGGGCTTGTTCATACTGTGTTGACATCAATAGGTTTTGATTCTGATACATCCCCATCTACCTATTCCATTAATCTGATTAATTGGCAATTTTTGAACATGGGGAACCTGAAAACCGGGGCCCTGAGATGAGGATGTGTAGAGATCCGTTTTTATCATCCAATTTCTGCACCAAGTTTGCAATACATGCTGTTACGTACCTACATTTTTTGGCTAGATTCGCATAGATATGTATATATATATATATATGTATATATGTATTTCTGTTGTATGTGCATTTATATTTACAATTATATATATATATAAAGAGATAATATGTATGCACCCACTATTGTACTGTCAGATAAACAATCACTGGATTTGTTGAAGGACACAACCAGGAAAACTTCGGAACCATGTTTTTGCTCATGCGTTTTTTGACCTTCAACCAATTCTGCAGAAAAGAGTAAGTAAAATCAAACACGTGTTCAATAGGGGAATCACATATGCCATTGAATCACTTTTAGTATATCTTGGAATTCCGCTTATATAGATGCCCACCATTTGTTGTATCATGAGGATTTGTCCTTATATGTGTGTTTGTTGGGGGTTTATGAGCCCTTGATAAACACAAACATGATTTGGGGGCTCACCATCCTACCATCCTGCTGCTGGGCCAACCTTGGATAGTTTAGTTAGTACTTAAAGCGTTTGCTATACATGGTGATATTTATTAACCAACCAATATTAAGCATGCAGGGTATCTACCCTCTGGTAATTTAACAGTTTGCAATTATGATCAAATCGCAAAATCAGATTCTTTAATAATCATTTCTATAAATATATAGATTATATATGTATATATATATAAACTTATCTTATTGGCATTAACCCCATTATATCACCTTTAAAGGGCCATGGATTTCTCAGGTCCATGCGTTACATCGACTCCTTGGAGACATTGGACGCAAGGAAGATACAGCGGGTAGCTGGGTTTATCCCAAAATCATGGGAGGAAAAACGGATTCATCATGTGGTTTTATATTTTTAGTTATTTATAACATATAACTAACATAAAAACATATGTATTTATGAGTTAATGATGGCTAAGAATGGCTGGAAACTCTATATTACAGTAGATCATATCTAGTGGTTCATGGTTAATCATCACAGGATAATATGCGGTAAACCCAATGCCGCAAACCATCCCCAAGTCATCACCATGTCTGTGGGTGCTATGAACCATCCTCAAATTGCGGATTTATTATTGGGTTTCTCACATTAGTGGTTTTAACTCAACATTAATAGGATGAATGGGAAACCATGTTATTGGTTTAACGTCATCAAGCCTGGCTGGCAATGGGCAACGCACTATATTTTACTATACTGGAGTGTTCTAGCTGGGAAAATCAAGTATATATATATATAGATGGGTTTGTGTACCGGAGCTGGAATAGTGGTTTAACTTAACATTTAACAAGCCAAAGGGAACATGTGAATTCATGGAATAGAACCAACAATATATATATATATATATTAGATGAATTACGTTGTGACCTCACTGTGACGTTACTAGAAATGATGGAAATGGATCGGGGTAACTATCCCAAAAATGTGTTAACTCAGACTGGTGAATTGTGATATGTTCATATATTTTCCTGAAATTTGGATATGGGAAACTATGGGATAGTGGTATAGTTAACAAATCCCCAAAATATGGGATAGTGGTATAGTTAACAAATCCCCAAGATATGGGATAGTGGTATAGCTAACAAACCCCTAAAATATGGGATAGTGGTATAGTTAAGTATTACAACTATACCACACTATTGGATATGGATAGTGAAGTAAAGTGGTATAGTTTGAACAATCCCCAATTTCCGCCTGTAAGTAATTGTGAACAAACCCCTGCTTGGGATGCTGGCCTGTGCCCCTAAAAGGTTCGTCTATGTCCATGGAGTCCATAGTTATATATATATATATAGGTGCGTATAATTAACTTTTTTATTAATTGGGGATGGTTTTGTATGTTTGTGATTGTGGATCCTACATTTACATTCCGTTCTTGGTTGGAAGGGCTTGGACCTCCGTTTTTAGGGCTGTTGGCCGAAGCCTTCGGGTCAGATTTGATTTGCCCACTCCAAAATATACGTGGCACCTGGAAAATGGCTGCCCAAATTTATGACAGTAATAGTGGTGAATCATGATTTTGAAGTCTACTGCAGTTTTGACCCGTCTTTGAAGTATGCATATGATTGATCAATATTGATCAATATTGATGAGGGTTAGGCCTGCCACCTGAGTAGGGGATATGCAACTTGTCCAAGAAAGAAAGGGCCCTGCCACATGAATGTTGGCGAATGTCGACTCCCTAAGATGGTCCTGAGAATTTAGCAATTCCTGAGTCCTTTTGCACCCACTTGGACAGCCAGAGGTCTTGTTGGGCACACATTTGCACATGCACGGCAAGAGCCGCGAAATTACATCCAGAGAAGCCTTGCAGGTTGCTCACAGTTCCTCGATCATCAAGGTCAGGTCATGAAACCGGGCCAAAGTCGAGGGGTTTGGGATTCATGTCCCAAAATTTGATGTGAACACCAAGTGAAACCGTGAAACCTGAGCTGAACCCGAATGGATTTTGTAGGAGATGATCTCTTCAATTGGTGTGTTTTTGTTGCTGGGGTCAGGCCTGGGGCCTTCATCAGTAAATATCAGTAACCATGGGGGAAGCCCAAGGCCCAAGCATTCATACAATGTCTTCTACGTGGCATCCTTGCCTGTGAAATTGATTGACGTTGCAACTTGTGTCCAGTTCTGATCCATGTATATATTGTATTTACGTGACTGACCCCTCCACCAATTTCAACATATTTCAACATGTCGATATTGAACACCCACCATTTGTAGATCATTGTTCTTTGGAAGCCACGGGTCTTCCACATGTTTTTCGTGAAAATCCACGGGATGGTCTACTTTCGTCTACCCTATCCAGGTCCAAAATATCGCCACATGTCAGGAGGATTTCAGCTCCAATGGTGACCCCCCCGAAAAATGAATGGGTACCAGCAAAAAATGGGGGTATGAGTAGTATGATGTCTAACCGGAAAAAAATTGAAAGCTTCCAAGCATCTACTCATCTACTCCGATAGTTGAACAGGTTGCTATGAGATGTCACCATGAGATGTCACCATGAGATGTCACCATCTTCAATAGCTATGTTAAATCATCGCATCGTATTCAGTTTGTTTCTGTGTGAAAAAAATAACGCACCAACAAGCCCTACAGGCCCTACAGCTGAACCGTTGTGGCGAATCTGAACCATTCACGACCTACGGAACTACGGGTATTGGAGGATCACCCCGTTGGTTGAACCATTGAAGCGCCGAGGCCGTGGCTATTCGTATCACGAGGTTTTTTCCAACTCGCTTCGGAACATGGAGGACTTCCGGGGCGCTGGGCACAAGGAGGCCACCATTTTGGAGCGTTTTCTGATGGGAGAATTGTAGGATTCTGCCTCGAAATACGATATGAAATCGATTTCAACATGATCAACAAACATTGAGGACCATGCTAGCAACTTTCTGCGCACGTTTAGCACCCCTTGAGATGTTGGATGATGGACAAATGTGCGATGCCGGTATTGGCCATACTGTCCAAGCAAACGTAGAGTGGTTGATAGTCTCAAATACATGTCCCTCCTATGATTTCCATCCTTGGGTCCGGCGCACTGACTAACCAAAGGTCAACTTCAGGTAGTTGTGGCTCAGAAATTGACAATGCCCACATTTGGATACATTTGGTACATCTATTGGATGTGAAACCCCCACAACCATCACATTGAGATGCTTGATCATTCTGGTTCGCATCAAAAAACAGACATAAAACAACGTAATTTAAGATAGTTATCCCCCATTTGGTGACCCAGATGTATCATTTTTGATGACCAAGGTTTTGGGCTCCAAGAGAACTTCGCCAGGAGATGGTTTTCTCTCTGTTGGATGTGAATTTGGACCGAAGCACTGCCTAGGCAGTGGAGAAACCATAGCTGATTGGTAGGACAATCGTTACAGCCCAGACACTGGCCATAACATTGCAAGGTATATATATATACATATGTACTATATCTATATCTATATCTATATTATCTATATATATATATGTGTGTGTACGGTATATATATATATAATGATATTGTTCAACTGATTTGTACTAAACCTATCTGGGGTCAATGATTGTGAGCCAATCCGAAGTGACATGGGCAAAGCACCCTGTGTCCGTATACAACAGCAAGGCTGGGAAAAGCGAGGAGCTGCAAGACCTTGGTTGATTTATTGGTCAGTTCTAGCCTTCCATGCACAACTGAAGCTGAACATTGAGTTTCATATGGCTTGTTTCATGCGTGGAACCATCCAGTTTTGATCAATTTGGGGTGCAAGGGTGCTTGACTTTTGCCATTTTTCAATGCTTCCAGCGGCCCAGTGCCATAAATTGCCCCCTGAAAATGAGGATTGGAATTTCCCAATCTCCATTTTACCTTTGCATGTGTGTCCATTTTGCAAGTCCATTTTGACTTTCAAGTAGTGATTCTAGAACAACTAGATGAAGGGGAGAAACAAGACTAGCAAATTCCTGTCCGAATGAGTGCAAATGATAAGAACAACGGGGGTTACCTATGTTTACCTGCAATCTGTCCATATCTTTCCATCAAAAACCAACTGAAATGATTTTCTGCGCTCAGGATGGATGATACCTTGCGAGATCTGCTGGCCCTCAGGGACCGTAAAGCAGTCTATGAGGCGGGCAGGAAGAAACCACCATGAGTTGGGGGGTCGGAAGGCTACTTTCCAAGCGTAGAGTTGGTTCCTCTTGGGGTGTCTGTGTTGTGAAATCTGAATTTACTATATAATTGGTTTGTTTGAACTCGGAAGCTCAACGGTATGCCTACAAAAGTCTGAATTCGAGTCCAGCCAGCCACCAATCAATCCATGTCTGCCGTGGAAGGCCTTTGTGTCTCGGTGCATTCGCATGCTGCACAGCCATAAGGCGGGACCGGCATGGAACATGACCATGACATTTGACATGGAATGGAACACCAAAAACTGCAACAGAGAAACAAAAAGTATGTCGATCTATTGTTTTAATATGCTTTAGTCTTATGACGCTTTTGAGGTGCATTGGATGGGTTCAGTTTTGGAGCCATCATCTTCTCATTGATACTCCAGCGTTCTTTATGTTCCAGGTTGGTGCTCATTGGTTGGCACGTGTTGATCATTGGAGAATGTTAGAGATCATTAGATGGGTACTATGGTCCCTTTTCATCCCTTTTCAATAATATACAATGGCTATAAGAGCATGTCCATTGTCAGGGGGGAGACACTGGGGAGTTTAGCGGAGGCAGGCGCTTGCTGGGATTCCCTTCGCCTTGTCCCTTGGCGAAGGGGGCGACCAATATCGATCAAGTGACCGGGGGTTGAAATTTCATCAAGTTCTAGAACGCAAATGTAGACAAGATGAGGCAAGATAAAATAAGTATCCAAATAAGTGATATGTCTTTGGGATATCACTCAGGATAAGTGATGAGAAAACATGTTCGAGTTTGGACAGCTGGAATCCAAAAAAACTGTTTGAATGAACATATGTTCATCCCCGTATTCAGAAAAATGTATTTGACCGTGTATATTAAAAAAATATATATACTAAATATCTGTGTACATATATATATAGACATAACTGTACAGTAAATAATAAATACATAACATAAGTAAATATATATATATATACACAAAGGGCAAGAGAGAGAGAGAGAGAGAAAGAGAGAGAGAGAGAGTATGTATGTATGTATGTATGTATGTATGTATAGAGCCTTGCTTGTACATATATACATATATATATATATTCACATATTACAGACATCATGTTGTTAAATTTCACGAGGTCTTGGGGTTTTGGGATTTTTACGGTATATTGGGTTTCAAAGTCAAAATGCATCATTTCGAGCAACCTGCGAGCAGAAGGGTCGTGAGGAAAAGTGTTGAATGTTGTGATTTTTGTTGAATCAGTGGTCCACAGGTCCAACTGGCGTTCCAGAGAAACCGAAACAGTCGGAAACAGTCGGAAACAGTCGGAAACAGTCGGAAACCGTCGGAAACAGTCGGAAACAGTCGGAAACAGTCGGGAACAGTCGGGAGCGGCCCGGCGTGATCGTGCCAAAATTGTCAAGCCGCAATTTTTTTGCAAAAAAAAACGTTCCGCGCAATCCCCTTTTTTTTTGAAAGTGCAACGGGAAACAGTTGGAAACAGTTGGGGCTCGTACCTTTGACTCGGCAAAAAACGAGCTATTTAAAACCAGTTTATAAAGAAAATGAACCTTAAATGGTTTTAAATAGCTCTTTTTTTGCCGAGTCAAAGGTACGAGCCCCAACTGTTTCCAACTGTTTCCCGTTGCACTTTCAAAAAAAAAGGGATTGCGCGGAACGTTTTTTTTTTGCAAAAAAAAAGGCGGATTGACAATTTTGGCACGATCACGCCGGGCCGCTCCCGACTGTTTCCGACTGTCTCCGACTGTTTCAGTTTCTCTGCAACGCCAGTTGGACCTGTGGACCACCGATTCAACAAAAATCACAACATTCAACACTTTTCCTCACGACCCTTCTGCTCGCAGGTTGCTCGAAATGATGCATTTTCACTTTGAAACCCAATATACCGTAAAAGTCCCAAAACCCCAAGACCTCGTGAAATTCAATACATCATGTGATGGAATTACTGCTGTAAGTTTAGGTCATTTGACCCGCAAAAGCACCAGATGCCCCCCCGCGTTAGATCAGTCGTGGCACTTGGCATCCGCCTGTTGGTTGCATCAGTATCTCTTTTGAAGCTAATGCATATATCGTCATTATATATATATAAAGATATCCCATGGCCAAACAAATGCAATAATGTGATATGCGCCCACTCAAAGCAAATCCAGTCGTTTTGGATATGAAATTCTAGGGATCACACCACAAAGTCCTATTTCAAATCCAATGTTACAATTCCTACTATGATCACATGGTGAAAAATGAGCGTCAATGATGTCAATAATCCTAGTCTTAATCTGTACTCGTATCACAATTTCATATCACCACACCTGAAACAATAATAATCATCACCCACTTAGTGGCTCATCCAACTAAGCAGCTTATATCACCTTTTTTCAGTTGGTTATTGCAGGGTGGATCCGCCTAAAGACATTTTATACTTCGTTTTCCCGGGGATCACTAGTAGGGTTAATTCACATAACCCCCGAAAAAAAAACAAAAATCGAACAGTGGGGTTGCCACCAATTTAGATCCACTTAGGATCCGTGAGATGACCCACCATGACCCAGCCATTTCTGAGGTCATGATCGAAAACAGCGCTTCGCAAGCCTTGATGAAGTCGCAGAGCTTGCTTCACAGGCCCCCACGGGCCCCACGGGCCCCACTGGCACCTCAAAAAAAGACACGGCTGTGAACAGAACACATGGGAATTACCAAACAAACATGGGACAAAACACATGATGAAAAAAATTATGTATATGATTGACAAAAAGAGAGACATGTAGCTGCTACCAATGTAGCTTTCAGCATCCAAAATGTTGTTCAGCGTTGAGGCATAAAAGAAAAATCATGATTCACCAACATATATAGGGGTTTAACCAATATAAACGTTGCTTTTAGGTGATTTGACAACCCAACATGTGGGAGGTGGTTGAACACCAAAAACTGACTGCATAATCATGTTCACCCCCACTGTTTTTGTCCTTGAAATAAGACATGTGAGGTGGTGATTTGATATAAGACAGATATGCAGTAGATTATACAAGTGATACTCATGTCACAGTTGGATTCCCCTAGTTCTATTTGATGTCAAATAAAAGTGGTTCCCTTGGTCATGTTCCCTTAAATGAATGAATTTCATTTGACCGTGACCCTCTCTTAATTTGACATCGTTATTGAAAATGGCCCATTGGTAGTTGATTTACCTATTGAAGATGGTGATTTTCAATAGCCTTTTTGTATGTTTACCAGAGGTGTTCCAGCATGTCTTGCTCCTGTCCCAGCTGCGGAGTGCAGGACGAAGCGAAAATTCCACAAGGCGTTCTCGCTGGTGTTGGGCAGCTTGGAAGCAGATGCGGGTGCTGCAGCTTTTGATCAAGACTATAGTTCATACCTCAACGTTTGCTGTGAATGGGAGTACTGCAATCGTATATGATATATATATATACATATACATATATATATATATTTATATATTGTATATGTATATATATATATATGTGTGTGTGCTTGTATTTATTTATTTTATATTTATATATATATTAATATTTATTTATTTATTTTTGAATTGATATATATATATATATTTTCATTCACTTATTTATTTATTTAATAATAATATTGCGTTTTATATGAAATATTTGCATGTTCTTGAAACCATGCAGCGCATTTAAGACTTCAAAACTAGCCATTAATTGGATTGAATGCTGACCACATGACCAATGTAACGGGCCAATTGGTTCTCATGACTTTTGGATAAGAGGGGTCAAAATTGAAAATTGAACGCGATTGACGTATAAATAACTGCGATTTCTGTCTACTCTGTGGGTGGTATCTAAAGGATGACCTTTATGAGTTCGCATCGGCGCAATATGCCAAGTTAAATTGCCATCATATGTTTGGGACAATTGAAGTGGACATCGATGTCCTATCTCAGCGAGTATTCTTTGCTCGACTGCCTGTCTATCTATCTTTGGCTGCCCTGCAACAACAACAGTGGATCACAATAATTTTTGAGTCGCGGTCCTGAAAAAAACAGCCTCCCCAGAGGAATGTGAGCGCATATATAAGGTAATGAGGAGTGGAGTTTGAAACTCTTATCGCTACTGGAAGCCGCTCTGGAAATCATTTAACCTACTAGAAGTTAGGTAATTACGCCTCAAAGCCATGGAAGATCATTGGCCACTGGCCACACTGGCCACGCGAGGTCGTAGTCAGAAAGTGCAGCCCATGGTTGAGAAGGAAGAATGGCACGAAAGTGGTGGTGTGAGAATCGTTGAAGGACCAAAATCCATGGGCTGAGAGTCCTTTGGTCCGGTTGCTGTTTGATTTACCCGGCCGAAATGGGGAGTGAACATGATTTAAAGATCAAAGCAGGGATTGAATTTTACTTGAATTTTGGCAAATTGGATTGGAATTTGTCAAAAAAATGGTGAAGACCCATAGAATTGCCATTTTGATGGGGAACATTTTAATCAAACCTCTTTTTTGTGGGCATCCTAGTTTCAGACAAATCCAGATGGGGTCTTAAGGGATGATTTCTGGAGTTTCCGGACCGTTGTTTGATGTTAGCCCTTTTGTTCAAGAAGGATGTTGTTAAAACAAAACTGGAAGGGTCCCTCAAGACATTCGTAGGTATATATATATATATGATGTAAAGAATATGTCTGAAAATCAAGACATTGATCGAATATTATGAAGGCGTGAACTCCTACCTTGAAAAAACAATCCAATGTATTGATGTTATATGATTTTATGTTTATTGTTCAACAACATACAATCTTAAATTTCTTGGATGGAATATCTGATATGAGTGATCAGAGGGATCGAGGACGGAGGGTCCCACTGATCCTCCATCAGCCTCAGGATTTCTGTCTGGATCATGGTCTAGCCGTGTGTGTAGCCACATGGCACAGAGAAGTAGCAGCTGCTGCCATCCGGGGGGTCAATGCAGGGTTTCTTTTCATAGGAACTGCTTCAGGCTTTGGCATTTTTTCCCAAACTTGGTTGCCGGAACCACCTATATTTGGGGGGTATCAGCTTTGCTTTCCTGTAGATGTTCCAGCCCATCGAGTGAATTGTTCACCAATTCTGTACCTCATCATGGCCTGGGTGGGTGGTTGAAAGCCAGCAGGCAGATTGTGATCGTGAGAGGCTTGTTGTTTTTCCTAAAATGGTCCCCTCAAATCATCCAGACTTGGACTATGTTGGTTTATTTTGTATTTTAAAACCCCATGATGTGTGGAATGCCTATATTTAACCATACATTTTGAAGAAACATCTATATATATAATGTATCATATATATATTTAAATATAATGAATAAATAGATAAACATATATATATATATAAATGAATAAATAGACAAAAAGGTGTATGTATATATATATATATTTATATGCCCATAAGATCCCATAAGATCTTCCGTTTTCTCTATCCTGAGGTCTAGCTCCTGCAGTTCACCCGTGGCTGAAGGCGGTTCAGAGCAGTTTATTCAGCTCGTAACTTGGCGGTTGAGAGTTTCAGCATGGTGCAGCCTTTTGGCCACAAGCTTGATGGGATATCATGGGATTGCGTCGGCGAGAAAGAACGACCCACCGAAGACGATCTGTGAAAGGTGCTGGTTGCGCCAGTCAGCCATGGTCCCACATTTGAAGCGGCTTCTTTCCCGTGGCGAAAACCTTGGTGAGCCCCACAGATGTGAGCATAGCAACATATGCATCATGTCCCAGCCATGATGAGCTACAACAAGCCCCCGACACATGCTACATGATGTCCGATTGTCAAGACTCCACGCCGAAATTCTGGACCATCCAGCTGACGGATGTTGTCCTTGCTTTCTGATGTTTTTTGATGCTTTTTGATGCTTTTCTCATTAGGACCTCATTGGGAGGCCATTGTGTCCCAACATGTCCTGATCATGACCTCATAGATGATGCCGGATAGGCAAAACCGCTGCTTGAGACAGTAAGAAACGAAGAGCTTTGTGTCGCCATGGCGCGCCGTGAGCGAGAAGCAAGGGCCTTTGGCGCTGTGGAACATATGATGCCCAGCCGCCAAGGAGATAAAAACAACCGAGCTTTGTCAGCGATGGGGCACGAACTCTTGTAGCAGGGCCTGTGCAATGATAGGCTGCATACCATATCTAGATGTTTATACATTATAGATAGATAGATAGGTAGGTAGATAGAAAGATAGATAGGTGGGTAGATAGATAGATAGATAGATAGATAGATAGATAGATAGATAAATGGATAGATAGATAGATAGATAGATAGATAGATAGATAGGTAGCCAGATAGGTAGATAGATAGATGAGAGAAATTAGATAGATTAGTAGATATATCGATAGATAGATATAGATTGATATAGATATAGATATAGATATAGATAGATATAGATATATATATATATACAGATATATATATATTTAGATAGATATAGATAGATATAGATACATATAGATAGATATAGATAGATGCAGATAGAGATAGATATAGATAGGTATAGATAGAAATAGATATAGATAGAGATCTATTTTTAGATAGACATAAATAGATATAGATAAATATATAAATATATAGATAAATATAGATACATATAGATATAGATAGATATAGATAGATATAGATAGATATTCATAGAAATAGATAGAAGTAGCTAGATATAGATAGATATACATAGATATAGATAGACATAGATAGAAATAGCTAGATATAGATCTGTATATAAAGATAGATATAGATAGATATAGATAGATATAGGTATATATATATATAGATAGATATAGTTAAGTATGGTCAGATATAGATATATAGATAGGTAGGTAGGTAGATAGATTAGATAGTTTAGATCGATTAGTTCGATTAGATAGATAGATAGATAGATTGATAGATAGATAGATAGATAGATAAGATACATACATAGATACATACATAGATAGATAGGTAGATAGTAGGTAGATAGGTAGGTAGGTAGATAGGAGAGATAGGTAGATAGATAGATAGATGGATAGAGAGAGAGATAGATAGATAGATAGATGGATAGATCGATAGATAGATAGATAGATAAAAATAGATAGATGGATAGAGAGATAGATAGATAGATAGATAGATAGATAGATGGATAGATAGATAGAGAGATAGATAGAGAGAGAGATATAGATAGATAGATCGATAGATAGATAAATAGATAGATAGATTAGATAGATTAGAGAGATTAGATAGATTAGTAGATATACCGATAGATAGATATAGATTGATATAGATATAGATATAGATAGATATAGATAGATATAGATAGAGATATATATACATTTATATATATATAGATAGATATAGATAGATATAGATACATATTGATAGATATAGATAGATAAAGATAGAGATAGATATAGATAGGTATAGATAGAAATAGATATAGATAGAGATCTATTTTTAGATAGACATAAATAGATATAGATAAATATATAAATATATAGATAAATATAGATACATATAGATATATATAAATAGATATAGATAGATATAGATAGATATTCATAGAAATAGATAGAAGTAGCTAGATATAGATAGATATAGATAGACATAGATAGACATAGATAGAAATAGCTAGATATAGATCTGTATATAAAGATAGATATAGATAGATATAGATAGATATAGATAGATACAGGTATATATAGATAGATATAGGTAAGTATGGTCAGATATAGATATATAGATAGGTAGGTAGGTAGGTAGATAGATTAGATAGATAGATAGATAGATTAGATCGATTAGTTCGATTAGATAGATTAGATCGATTAGATAGAATAGATACATACATAGATACATACATAGATACATACATAGATAGATAGGTAGATAGTAGGTAGGTAGGTAGGTAGGTAAGTAGATAGGAGAGATAGGTAGATAGAAAGATAGATAGATAGATAGATGGATAGAGATAGGTAGATAGATAGATAGATGGATAGAGATAGATAGATAGATAGATAGAGAGAGATATAGATAGATAGATCGATAGATATACCGATAGATAGATTGATAAATAGATTGATAGATAGATCGATAGATAGATCGATTTAGATAGATCGATTTAGATAGATATAGATAGATTGATTTAGATAGATCGATATAGATAGATCGATAGATTGATAGACAGATAGAGAGATAGATAGATATATATGTGTATGCACATGTATCTATAGTCAAAGGTTGTATGTATAAACATATAGTTATATTTGTTCTTACGGCTTGCAACGTCGTAGCTGGAGCTGGGATCCCAGAAGGGGCCCATCTCCCCCCATTTGGGACGATCGTTCTGAGGATACTTGGTCGGACATGCAGCCTTCGGCTCCTCGGACGCGCCCCATGCTCCCCCAAAGTTCCACATTTTCCATGTGTTCTATCGCTCTTTTTCCGAAGCTTCCATGGGTCTCTATGTTCCATGTGGTTTATCCTCTTTCTTTCTGGATCGCGTTCTTGCTTTGTTTCTCATCGCCTCAACAAATTAAGCAAAAAAAACATGCACCTTGACTCGGCCCTCACAGGTCCTATCAAGATTGGTAAAGAGCACGTGAAAGTGCCAAAGTCAAAAACATGATTGGTAGAACTGAACGCAAAAGAAACAATGTTACATTTCCCACTTCCATGACACCACCGGGCCGCTTAGGACAAGGTCTCATGCAACTGGAGAGGTGCGAATTCGAAGATGCCTCGGCATCCTTGGAAGGCGAACATAGCGCAGCGGTTGAGGTGATTTTTCCTGGGTTTTCTGAGTTTTTTTCCTGGTTGAGGAGATGTTTTTTCCTGATTTTTTTTTGAATGGAAGATCCACCATGATTGGGGAACCTATCGGGAATAGGTGCTAGTTTTTGGAGTTTGATGCTGTAAATCCAGATTTTGTGTTTTGGGGCGATATTTGCTGCGATACATGGGAAAAATGCTAAGAATATCTAAAAATCACGGCGTATAAATGGGATTTACCAACCATAAATGCGGATGAATGCATGGATGCTTTAAAACATATACTATACAGCATAACCAGCTAATACGTAGTGTTTTTGTTGGCTGGGTGCCATATCCAGGGTTGGTTATGAAAAGATTCTATAGCCTGATGAACTAACATGACTATGGAAATCCCATGGGTTTCTCTCGGAAATGATCCAGAAGATCCTAGCTTTGTCGACGGCGCAAGGTGCCTGGTCCGTTTGGAAGGAAGTCTTTTTGAAGGATGCAGTGAGCAGTTCAGATTCCGAAGCTGGCCTTTAGACATAGAATT